CCCTGTGGCYGGAGGAGGGGATAAAATCCAACATCTGGCTGTGTGGAACTCCCTGCTGTAGAGCACACAGCCAGGGGCGCCTGGGGTCTTCAAGCCTATGTTACTTGCCCTGTTCCACCATACATCCAGTGGGTGTTTCACCTTTTTCTCCTTGCTCAGCTGTGTCACTAGGGTGCTCTGTGCCTCAGGCTTGGCTTTGTGTAGTGGTGGTGGGGGCAGGTTTTGTTCTCRGGCAGCTGAATGTGTTTTGCTGGTTATTGTGACCAGCCAAAAGCTCTCTCAGAAGCTATGGGCTCACCAACAGACTGGGAAGGGTTCTAGCTCCTGTGATGTACCGCCGCTGGCATCCCTGTGTTCTTCTTTCTCCTCTGCTTTGTACCTGAAGGCTTCCCAAGCCTGCTGTAGATAAGAATGAATCAAAAGCGCTTTGGACCAGGTTTCAGGGGTGGTGAAAATGGTCTATGGGTCAGGAAGCAGAAATGTACAGCAGGAAGTCTTATAGGCTTTTGTTCTTCCTTCCAGTTTTCTCCTCACTGWCTTTCACAGCACTTGTGTCAGAGCACAGCGTGCTTTTTTGTAGTTCAAGAGTGTAACSCACACTGTTCCTGTTTTGTTCCAACAAAAATTGATCCTCTGGAATAAGGCATTAGTGGCACAGGGAGGCGCTCAGCTTGGCACAGGCTCTTTTCCTCATCATCATTAGTCTCCCTCCACCCTTTGCTGATGGGTTAAGAGGCTCCAGCCTCTTAAAACAGTTGGCCTCGTTGTCGTCTCTAGGTTCCCACATCTGGTTCTMATTAAGAGATCCCAGGATGCAGTTCTTTAAGTTGCTCCCTTCCTGCCACCCCTAGGTGACCCAGGCAAGATTGTGGGTGATTAGAAGACAGGCAACAGAGCAAGAATAGGTGGGGGAGGGATTGTTATAAATAGAAGTACCATAAACTTATCAGCCTATCACTTGAGGTAAATTCTGGTTTTAATCTCTCAGACCTGTAAATATGATGACTTGCAGAGGCCAGGCACTGTTAACTCTTTCAGACTCCTGCAGAACCATCTGGAATGTGTGCTCTCTTCTGGCAGCCCATCAGAGTCCACATAGCCTTGAGGCCACGTGTCCATCTCTGGAAAGAAATGGAATGTGGTGGAGGCCTTAGAGCTTGGAGATGCTTGAAGATGGGACTGGGAGAAAGTTCTGGAACCAAGAAGATGCTTTGGCTAATGATGTAGAGGCACAGAGTCCTKAGGGGACACAGGACTGCAAACCCATGCCATCAGAGTGGGAGTAGGAGGAGGAGAAGGTGGTGATGGAAGCACCTCTCTTTGGATGTTGATAGTGTTTGGAAGTTTGGGGAAAGCAAAGAAAACCAGTCTAACCACTGGGATTTCTGACTTTTTTCATGCACACAGAAGTCTCCCTTCACGCAGCTCTATTTGTAAGGAAGGTGATAGAGATTTAATATTTTCTTTTTGTTTTTTTTCAGGAAAAGTTTTCTTTTGGAGTACTCCTCAACCCTTTTGTGAGGAGAGGTTAGAAAGGGGAGCACAGGAAAGAGAGATGAGGTGCAAAGTGGTTATTTGGGGCCCTGAGTGGAGATGCTGAGAGGGAGGTAAGATGAGATAGTACAGAATGTTAAAGGATGCACAAAATCTTTGAAAGGATTTTTGAATGAAGCGTCAGAAGAGTTATGCCTTGAGTGTAACAAGGTTGAAGGCAGGGCAAGGGGCCTGCGAGGCTTGAGTTTTCCTTTGTGTCCACTCTAACTGAAAGAATTGTGAAATAGAAGGTTGTCTGAGATGTTTTCGGGTTGGGAAATCTCACTGTGTTTTTACAGAAAAGCTAGCACATTAGAAGCATTAGAAGCAGGGCAGTAGTGTGGCTGAATTACTTGGCAGTGGTGCCTTACTCCCTGGGATGCTGCTGTGTGCAGAAAATGCTGATAAGCTGGTTCATAGAAAAGGGATCTTTGGACAATTTGGTAGGGGACCTGCAGCACGCCTCTAAACTCAGTGCTTTGGGATGGAAGGCAAAATGTGGCCTGTTGAGCTTTGGAGACATTAAAGGAGTTATGGGCAATGTGCACGCTAGTATATCCTATGGAGCAGGCACTGATACAGAGGCAAGGCCCTTTCTAGGGGAATGCAGAATGGACTGGAAGTGTTCAATGGCTCCTTCAGCTCCATCTCTGTTTGCCTGGGACTCAGAAGTGCGTGAGTCTGTCCTACGTGAAGCTCTGTGTGTGTGTGTGTGCGTGTGTTTGTGAGGTTTCCCAGGGTCCCTATATTGTGGCTCCCAGCTCCCTCCTAATCCCCACTTTGAAGGGGGAGGGGGCATTTTTAGTGTCGTTAGGAGCTCGTGACTCTAAGGAGAAGTATTAGCTTTTAATTAATCACCTAAGCTGGCTTTCAGTAACAGCCCCCACTGAACAGAAATTACACRCCATAAGATGCTCTTCAGGGCTGTCTGCAGGCATTTCCACGATGCTTTCTGCCCCCGGAGCTGAGCAAGGGCCCTGGGAAGGATGGATCAGCTGAGGGGATGAGAGTTCTCAGATGGTCAAAATGAATTAGGAGGAGCAATGGAAAAAGGAAGTTGAGCTCCTGACTCTCCTGGCTCAAGTGCCTTGGGTCCCCACCTGAGGAAAGCCCTTTATTTTTAGTAGGCTTCCTTTATTTTTATTTTTAGCAGGCAGTAGCCCCTACCCCTTGCCTATCAGCATTATCGGATCTGCTGCAGCTCCAGGGCTGTTCAGCTGACAGACCTTTCGCGTCAGGTGCTTATCTCACCCTTTGCCTGGGTCTCAATTGAGTTCTTCTGAAGGTGACTTTTAAGACAAGGTAATAACGAAAAAGTGAAGGCCAGCACCACTCAGGGCTGCAGAGGGCCCTCTCTCTTTTGTGGAGAGGTCCTTGACTCTTTTTCCCCAATGGAAAAATTTATGGAGTTTGAAAGTGTGAAGGTCTATGGAAATCCCTCTAGAGATCTCTTCCTGGACCAACTCAGTAGCTCGTGGAAAAGGCAGCAAAACTGGTAAATTGTCCTTTTTTTTCTTTTGTGAACGCCACTTCCAATCCGAGTGTGGGGTAAAGATGGAGTTTCCTGATAGTGTTTGTCATGGATGCTTGCCAAACACGTCATGTGATTTTGGGCACGTTCTCCCTTTGGCCAAGCSTGTGGCAGCAGGGTGGAGGGAGTGCTAAACACCCAGTAGTCTGGGCCGTTTGAGGGATAGCAGGTTAAGGAGCTGCTGCTTCGAAAAGAAGTGCTTGGGTAGATGCAAGTTGGCTGAGGTGTCAGAAGTGGGCATAGCAAAGAGAGGCTGGGCCGTAGGGGTTGAGCAAGGGAAGCATGTGCCCGTGGTGCTGGCCGTCGGTTGACTCTTCCAGTCCAACATTACCCAAAGCGACACCCAGGCCATTGCTGCCCCCTCACTGCAAACTCAGGGAGTTAGGAGAGGAGGTTGTCATGGAGAAATGCCCCCCTTGCTGGCCCTGTGGACTGGGGCACAGCTCAGGACGTTCTGACCAGCCAACATGGTGGCTGCCAGCTGTGTGGCACCTCTGCCTGCTAGCTATTTCCTTCTGTAGTGAGGATTCACATGAAAGCAGTGTTGCTCCTGTCTCCTCCCGATTCTGCCTGTGCCACTGAGGTGTGTGGCACGCAAAGGGTTAGGTGCCTATCCAGGGAGAAGCTATCCAAGGTTTCTCTCCTTAGCCAGGGTTACTAAGGAAAAGATCTCCCCCATACACACACACACACACACACACACACACACACACACACACACACGCTCCCTGTCCGTTTGGCAGAATTCCTCGCTGGATTTATTTCTGCCGATTTGCTTGTCTTGGTATGAGAGGGATTTGCCGAGGGGAGAGCTCCAATTGGCCGGGTTGCAGGCCGAAAGCCCCCGTCTCCATTTTTGCGGTTCGTTGGCTAACCCTGCCGCAGCGCGTGGCCCCTGGTGGGGAGGATGGGGTGGCACTACTTGGACTGTGTGTGAGCGAGTAGTTTGGGTGAGTGTCACTGGTTTAATACGAAGCTTTGGGGCCTTTCAGGAAGGGCTGTCTCCATTATCGGAGCTCAGGGGGAGGCAGCGGGGCCTTCTCTTACACTTTCTTGGCAGTGTCTTTGGCACTGAGGGTTGGCATCCTCCCCAGAGGGCTGCGCACTCCCACTTCAGAGAGACAGATAAAGAATGCACTTTCTGTCAACAGAACCCAGCCCCGCTTCCCCAGAACAGACGAGAGGAGGAGGAACCCTCTGGAAGAAAGGAGAAGAAAGCCCAGGGCTTGCCCACGCCAGAGAGGGAAGAGGGAGGAGGGCTCCTGCAGGGGCCAAGAGCTGTTGCAGAGCTGTCGTGGTAGCCATGGGGCAACTCCGTGGAAGCAAGGATCCACGGGCAAGGAAGGGCTTTCAAAAGCACSCTCAGAGCCCGCTCGTAAAGCCCTGCCACACGACCCTTGCCTCTTCACTTACCATGTTCTCCTGTGGCCTGCAAAAGGCAGCTCTTYAGTCAGCTGTTAGTGCTGAGGAGGCCCTGGCAAGACCCGTGGCTCTTGCAGCTTCAATAACAGAGTCTGTGGTAGGCAACGTCAGCTCCAAGTTGGTCCTGATGGGGCAAGACCTGTGGAGAGTCTCTGTACGACTTAACTCCATGAGCTTTTTCCAATGTATTCTGAGCCTGAGCCCCTGGAAAGCTGCATGTGCCACAGCCAGAGTTTGGCTCACAGATTGCTCTGTGAAGCACAAGTCYCCTCGGGCTGTCCAGCTTCCCAGACTGTGTTGTCCTACAAATATTGCCTCTATCTTATTTTACACTGGGATGCAGATAGGTATGGACAGAYGGTACTCCTTCAACTGAAGGATTTGACAATCTTCTTTGATCAACTTCTTGACTCTGAAATGGTCTGGTGTAGGCTTTAGGTGGTTCTGATGTCAAAGACAAAAAACATTTATATCTTTCTCATGGCTCTTACTTCGACTTCATCTTCCCTTGCAGGCCACGACATTAATGGAGCTTTGGAACCATCTAACATTGACACTAGCATCCTGGAAGAGTACATCAGCAAGGAGGACTCGCCAGATATGTAAGTGCTTCCCTAGATCCACAGCAGGAACAGTGTCCACTATTGTCTTCTGTGGAGAGAAATCAAGCAATTCCCTTTCCTGCACTTGAGGAATCATTTATAAATCACTATGTGCCTTGGCTGCACCTTTGTCCCCTTTAAAGTCCTCCTTCAGTGCTCTTTCTTCCCCTATTCATTTCAAGGACTTCCTCCTGTCTTCCCTGCTCTTCTTGCCTTTGAATTTCCCCYGTCTCTCAGTTGCTTTCTCCTTTCYCTTCTTCCTCCTGTCGACACAGAAAAGATTTTTCCTAAATCGCTTTGGGCAATGTGAAAGCAAGCACCAGCAGCTCAGGACAAGAGACTGAAGTCCAGCACAACACATTTTTAAAGTAGGGAAGAGTCTCCCTGTGTGCACTGACATTGGCAGAGCACAGGGGAAACCAGACCTTGATAGCAGGTTGGATGAACTGGATCGGAGCTTGGGAGCAGTATCTTGGAGCTGGCATGACAAAGCTGCTTGCCTGCACAAGTCCATAAGCTGAGCCACAGTGAGCAGAACCTGTTATTAGACCAACTGTATCMCATGTTGTATTGGGCAAAGGAAGTGTTTTAGGCTTCAGATAGGATGTCCAGGTGGAAGTCATGGTGGTATGATAGGGATCTGATAGCATAACAGCACCATGGTGGAGAGATGAAGGGAARTGGGGGCTAGCCTTGATAAGCTTTGAAGCTGGTCCCCTGGGTGCCTTGCACCMTGAGGGTTATGTTGCTCCCACCAATCCAAGCAACCAACCAACCTTCCTACATGTTCCTGCCAGCGACAGCAGGATGCTGATTGTTCTGCTCATCTTCTGTGCTCCCTAGTGCCCCTGAGAGGTTCTGTCCCTATTGCTGCATTGCTGGGGAGGGAASGGCTGGGTAGCGGGTGGAAAGTGCCATCTGCCTGTAGCACTGAGGTTGTCCCCTTCTCTCTCACAGCTGTTTCCCTGACATCCCTGCTTCAGCCAGCTGTGCACACCCCCAACCCTCCAGCTCAGCCACCATCAATGCGCCCCTTGGCAACTCCATCAGCAATGCTGGCCATGTGACCAACCCTGCTTCCAGCGGTTCCCTCCACCTTCCTCCCCCAGGCAGCCAGATCCCAATCCGTCATGGTCCTCCTTTGACCAACCCTTGTGGACCCAGCTATGGCGCTCACCTCAACTGCAATAACAACAATGGCATGGTGGTGCCCAAGGGCTACCTTGGTGGCCACTGCATAAACAATGTGGTCCCTCCAATCAAAGCGGAGCCCAAGGCCTCCTATGCACCTGGGTAAGTGAGATGGGGAGGTGGGGTGGCAGAAAACTGACAGATAACGGGCCAGCTTTCCTCTGAGGCTGCTGGAGCCTAAATGTTTCCACAGACTCCTGGCTGACAACATCAATGTGCGTTATTCACAGAGATACATGGACTTTTTTATGAGTATAGGTTCTGAAGTTCTTGAAAGATTGTTCACGGTGTTTGTCATAAGTGTATCTGTGGATTAGAGAGAATAAGCAACTTCCCRTCTTGTATATGTCCCCTATGTCAGCAGGTGGTGTCAAAACAATGACTTTGGTAAGGATAGTTATCTTATACACCTTCAACTGTGTGATGGAAGGGTGTTTTATTATTATTTTAGGAAGAAAAATAATGTAGAATAAATGTGAAACGTGAAAATTCAGTGCCCAGGATGTTCCAAGGCTMGCCACCCCAGGGGAAGATGTTGCTGAAATTGGTCAGAGATGCACTTAYTTTGGCCTGATGCTTTGGATACTTCACTCGAGAAAGACTTGGCGTCTGRGCTGGATTTCTACTCCTTTGCAATGAACTATGGATGCATCCCTTGTGAAGGAGACCTGCATTTTAGCATTGCTGATAAATGCGACTGGACATTTAGACCCGTGAGGAGAAAAGATGTGGTTCGTGCTCTCTGTGGCAGCCCGGGCTGGAAGGGAATGACTCTGTCAGGCTGGGAGAGCACAGAAACATGGCAGCTGGAGTCTGCCATGGCTGAAAGGACCAGATGGCACCTTGATGGAGAGCAGTTGAATGTGGCGTGTTGGGAGGGTACTGCAATACTCACTGAGACAGGAGCTAGCATGATGGAGAGCTACTAGATACTGTGAGTCGTGGAGGGAACCAGGTGTCTTTGGTAAAATGTTGCTGAGCCCTTATAGCTGAGATAAGAGGAATATGTTCCTCAGATGCAGTGGTYATCTGCATTCAGTTCTTGGCAGCTTTGGGTCAGTTGTTTGCATAAAACTTTATTGCCTGAAGACCCAAAGGGAAAAATACATCTGGTTTCATCTTCCTCATGCACCTCTCTGGTCCKCTGGTCTGTGCTGCGCTTTTCCAGCCTCAGGAAATTGAAGCAAGAAGGTAATTTGAAGCTGAGTGGATGAAAACCAAAGTGTACAGCAGCACATCCAGTAGCTGGAGACTTGGTTGTGCTGAAAGGAACTGTTTCATGCTCTGATCTGTCCCCRCGGTACAGATCCTGCTGTGGTCCTGCTGCCTCCTCTCTACAGTGACACTCTGTGCCTTCTGCAGTCAACTGATGGGTACTAGATGTAAAAACAAGGAGGTGAGGACGGCATCCAGGCTGGCTCGTCTCTGCAAACCACACTAGCTTATCTCCCTCTGCCTTCCGCCCTCTAGTGTTGCCAGCCAATGCAACATGGTGAGTCCCAGACTTAGAAGTTGCCAGCTCGCTGAACCAAAGATTTGGTATGAATGCAACTCCACTGGGATATCTTTGGCTGTTTGGATGAACTTGAAAAGATTCCTCAGAATGAGACACACAAAAAAATATCTGTCCCTGTTTTATTCCCGAACTGGGGATAATATGGACTTTTACCTTGTTCTTTACCCAGAAGACCAGAAGTAGCTCAGAGCGCGCCATGCCCGAAAGCATAATGTGATACCTTTCAGTCCTATTGTTTTCTTCTGCATGCATCTGGCATTCTCCAGGATGTGCGAGGTCATGACTAAGGACCACATCTCTACTACGTTCATAAATGAGGCCAAATTACCTGTCTGCTGCTTATATGTCATCTTTTGTGGAGCTGCTGGAGAGAGTCCAGTGCAGGGCTACGAGGATGATCAGGGGCCTGGAGCATCTGCCCTATGAGCAAAGGCTGAGAGAGCTGGGCCTGTTCAGCCTGAAGAAGAGAAGGCTGAGGGGGGACCTGATCGGTGTCTATAAATGCCTCAAGGGAGGCTGTGAGGAGGAGGAGGCGGCCTCTTTTTGGTGGTGGCCAGTGATAGGACTAGAGGAAATGGCCACAAGCTGAAGCACTGGAAGTTCTGCAGGAATGTAAGGAAAAATTTCTTAATAGTGAGGGTGACAGAGCCCTGGAACAGGCTGCCCAGGGAGGCTGTGGAGCCTCCTTCTCTGGAGATCTTTCAAACRCGCTTGGATGCAGCCCTGTGCCATGTGCTCTAGGTGACCCTGTGTGTTCAGGGGGTTGGACTAGATGATCCCTGAGGTCCCTTCCAACCTTAAGCATTCTATGATTCTGTGATTCTTTGATTGCCTTATACCAGAACAACAAATCCCTAGTCTGGTGGAGACATCAGCAACTACTATGACTGTGAGAAGAGCCCTGTATTTATTCAGGGGCAGGGACAAGGTGATTTGGGATATAACTTGTTTAGTTTTGTGTGTGCTGGATCCTTGCCTTGGCACATGGCCGTCTCAGCAARCTCTTCCAGGACCTGGCCATCACTGAAAGTAATGGAAGCTGCATTCCTAGCAAATCCTTGTTGTCCTCCTGACCTCCTTATACTTTTAGAGCGAACCTTGTAATGTTGTCCATCTTCTTGCACACAGACCTTTTCTAGGATTTCAGGATTCCCTTAAATCTCTGATTCTTTTGTTATTGCCCCAAACTTGCCTTGCTGAGGCCCTAATCCATTATCAATTTSTAGTTAGTGAAGAGAATGAAGCTATGGCCAGTTTGGCAGGAGGAAGTAAGGCTGATGATGGATACTGCAGACTCGGAGTGTGTGGGGGAGGACAAAGTAGAAATGAAGGTGGAACAAGAGCAAGAAAAGCTGAGAGTTCTTTATTAGGATTATCCCACCCTGTTGCTCTGCAGGAACTTTTGTGTGCCAATTAGTTGTTGAGAACCTATTTCCTAGACAAGTTGACTCCATTGGTGCAGGTGTCTTGGTGGGAGCTATGGTTTAGTTGTAGTTCTGGAAGCTTTTGGGAGCAGAAGGATACAATTTGATGGACTTGTGCATAGTTCTGCGTGTTTCATCCCCACAGACTTAAGAGCTTTGTATGCTTTTCAGACGGTTTTATCCAAGGAGCACTGGTTTGTCTGGGAATATTTTGCTGTCACAAAGCTAATGATGTAAGACAGGGAATGAAAAAGGATCCCCATTGAAAATTGACCTTTGACAAGGAATGTGGTGTCAGGAGAAGAGGAGAAAAGCACAGCCAGATTTCCTTAGAGCAGGCTTTGGCAGGTTGCTGGGCTGCTAAAACCTGGTGGAATTTGCTGAGGCTGTGTCCCCTGGGAGGCAGCAGATATGAATGGGCAGACAAAATATCTCCCTGACAGGATAACCTCCCTGCCAAATATCTTCACGGAGGCAGATCTCGTTGATGATGTTATGGTGAAGTGAACCTTGGCCTAGAGTGCAGACAACAGTTGTGCATCCAGCCCGCAAAGCCACCATTTCCCTGCCTGTCTCTGCTATGACTTGGGTTTGCAGTGGCCATGGCCTGGTCTGCATGAGAACAGAGTCTCAGTCTTTTCAACGCRTTTGGTCTGTGTGTTACCGGAGAAGAACCAGTGTCTGAGGCACACAAGTTCTTTATTTGTGCACCAGGATGGCTGAGGATCTTCCCTGGCATGGAGATTTGTGAGGCTTCAGCTTTCCCCTTCACGGGGTTGTGCATGGCGGACAGCTGGAAAGAACAAGTTCAGATTAATTCACAAAAAGATGCTTTAGAGAAGGATAAAGAATCCAACAGCCTGAGCTGACTGAAGGTAAAAGCGCAAAACAGGAGCTAAAAGTAGGAATTAAGCAGTGGGAGTTAAGCAGCCCCCTTCCCTGTGTCCCTGCTGCCACTGCATAAGGAGAAAGGTCATTGCTCGTCCCGCTGTCCTTATGCGATGGCTTGTGCTGGACAAGGCCACTGARATTTCCTACGTTCATTTCATTTCGCTGTTGGCCACACTCTGCTCTTGGTCACACTGTATTAAAGCCGGGGTGCTGCTGCTGGCAGCTCTGCTGCTCAGGCTTGTTTAGGGTGTGAGGCAGGGCAGGAATCCGTTTGCAGGCATCCCGGCCTTCACTTTCAYGCATCAGATTGGAGGCCGCAGGCAGGCTTCCCTAGAGGATCCCATTTATTCCTAGCGAAGCAAGTGGTCTTTCTTTGGGAAACRCATGCGTTTTTCCCTGGCTCCTTCTAACTAGTCATAAGGGAAGTCCTGTTGGCAGGTCAGCAAAATGTCTGTCCCTGCAAATGAGACCAAAGGAAGCCCAGTGGGGAGAGGTTCAAMGTGACAACTAGGGCAGTTTGTACCTTGACAGCAGGAGGCACTTGGGATAACAGGGATCTGCCGTGGGTGCAGCTGAGGAGACCTTTTTGTTTGGAGGCTGGAAGGTGCTTTGATCAAACTGGATCTATAAGTTGCGTGGGAAGCTGGTTCAAAATAACCTTTATTTTTTTTTCCCCTCAATCACTCTGCAGCACTTTACCCGACTCTCCCCCGGACTCTGGATCGGAAGCCTACTCCCCTCAGCAGGTGAATGGTAAGTGCTGAAAAGAAAGAGTATATGTGTGTATAGAGGGGGGAAAGGTGGACATGAAAAAAACAAATCCCACATCCTCCCCCTCTTTGTTCAGTGAAAGTGGTTGGCTCTGAAATCTTTATCAGACGGGAGAAAACAGGCGGCTGCAATACGTGGGAAGATTATCACTTAGCAAATATCCCTAGGCTTTCGCCTATTGTTCAACTGCTAGTCTGTGCGAGGGGGGAGAGCGAATAAGAGAGGGAAGAGGAGAGAAGGTGAGGTGTGAATCCATTCACACCGTGTCGGATGGCTCGTCCCCGAGCATGGGATGGGGAGCCTGTAAGGCCTGGTCCTGCCCTCCACCATGGGCAGGCGAAAGGCTAGGAGTGCACGCGCGTCCRAAATGAAGCCCAGCTTGGGGAGACAGAAATGAACTCGCCATTCAGCAGTAAGTTCCTTCCGAGCCCTTCCCTCCCCTTCAATGAGAACAGCTTATCGTGGACGGGAGCGGGGGGCTTTACCCTCCTGGGACGGGGAGGAAGAGTTGGGCCTCTCCCTGGAACGGGCTGCGTCGCTGCCAGGCCCTCCTGACGCCCYGAGAGGACAGGGAAGTCGCTGGCGTTATTTGTGACCTTCACCATGTTGTGATGGAGGAAACTCCTTGGTGAGAGGGGAAGGTTGCTCCTCGTGTCCCCTCCCCCTCGCCCGCAGCACCCTCTTCCCCAGATCCAGCCCAGTCCCCACCAGGAACAGTTCAGTCCTGCTCTTTTTTTTTTTTTTTTTTTTGATTGAAGAGGTCAAGAGTTCTGTTTATCTTGCAAAAAAATCCCTGGAATTCCTCCTGGCCCTTCCTTAAATATAACAAAGAGGCCGCGTTGTTCACCACCGGGAGAACTGCTTGACGTGTTGGTGGAACAGCAGCCCTGCTGCTCTGGGAGAACGGGAAGGAGAAAGAGGAGAGCACCCACTGAGCAGCTCGTTCCTCGTGAGGGAAGCATCCCGTTCTTGGATCTAGCCTTTCTCTGGAGCTGACACTGCTGGGAACACAGAGCATGGGCCCCGCATTCGGCAAATGCATCAGCAGTGATGCAGCCTGTCTTGGGTTAGGAGCATGTGTGGAGCTTGCTGATGATTAGCTATGGAGATAGTGAAGATTGTGTTGGCGAKATGTGGTCTCCTAATATCCTTCTGGAAGGGTGTGTTCTGTGAAGCTTCTGCATGGGCTGTCCCTTGAAAGTAGCACAAGGTGTCTCACCTTGTACACAAGCTACTAGKGCCGTATCTGGTCATACGACAAGGACAGGACATTTGCTAAGGACGTTCTAAAGAGCTGGACTTACTTTGTTCCTAAAGTCATAATTCCTGAGGTTTTTGTCCCCCATTCTCCTCAAATAGTTGCAATATGGTTTGTAGGACCCTCTTGTTTGGGAGATAGGATGCTGCATAGGTTAGTTCATAGCTCTGTGGTCTTTMAGAGAAATGAGACCGTGCTGGGGGCTGTTTGGTCTGGTTCTGGCTGTCAATTCTCACTGCCAGTAACCTCTGTATCCCGTTGCTGTTGCCATAAACCAAACCCACCCTTTCCAGGGAGCATGTGTGTGGTTCCTGATGTGACAGTTCCTGCCCCGGTCTGCCAGGCTCAGACCGCAGATTGCTTGCTGCATGTTGCAGGGGAGGGCCTAGCCCCTGGCAGCTCCTAGTCCCCAGCTTACCCCAGTGAGCTAGTGCTGTCCCTTAGGGCAGAGAACTTCCCTCTCCCTGGGTGGCAGCTGCAGCAGCGTGTGCTGATGCTCAGCTAGATTCCCTTAGAATTAGCAGGTTCCTCCACTCCGCTCTTGGGTAGCCTTCCATAGATGCTCTCTGTTTACAGACCTTTCTAGTCCCCAGAATCGAGATCTTTTTATTTCCGGTCAAATGATTTTGCCTCATCAGTCAACAACTGATTTGTCCTGCTGTTCTGAATGACCAGAGCGCATCTAACTCAGGTTCTGGTTCAAGGCTGGCTAGTGGCACCTGCTTAGGGATGAACTCTAGAAAAGAACACACAAATTTCTTCCCTGCTATACCTTCCAGTGGTTGCACAGTCTTTAACAGGCTTCATGCATCTTCTTCCTGCAATTTGCTTGGGTTTTGCTTCATCTGATGCCTAGGCTTTGTTTTTCTTAACATCCTGAAGGCTGGTTGCAAGGTGGAGTTTGCCTGGATTTTGTCTTGTGCACAGTGGTGAGAAGATTATTGTAATTAGTTGGATCTTTGTTTTCACCTATGTACAGCAGAAGCCTATTCCATTTTAAGYTGCATCAGAAGATAAAAATGAGCCATCGAATGATGCCAAAGCTGACAACTTCTGGCAAGTTTGGACCAGATACCTAWTATTATCATGATGGCTGAATTCTCTTGGTACTTCACAAACATTTCACACTTGCAGTCACCAGTGTGACCAGTCCGTCGGTTCCATTGACAGTTTCATACAAACTCAGAGGCCCAGAAATTCCTTCCTGCTCCATCTGAGATGAACGTGGTGTTTTTCCTTTTCTTTTTTTTTTTCCTTTGTTCACCAGCTTTCTTTGCAAGCTGTAAGCTTTCCTTTAGAAAAATCGTTTGCAAATATTTACTTCACTCAAGTCACTAGYTTCTGGACATTTTCTAGGCATGGTTGATGAGAATATACCATCTCGTCTAGCTTAACACATCTGAAAGTTCACTGCAGAAGCTCAAATGAATTCCGCAGACCCCTTTGCACTCAATGGAGAGAAATAAATTCCTTTCCACTATCTTAGAGTCCTGCTATAACATGAAATGACTAATGTCATGAATGATCTCGGTTTTTTTTTGTGAACCCAGATGAGTTATTTGTCTTTTTCCGAGCTAGAACAAGAAATCATTAGGGACAGTGTAAAGAACAATGCAAGCAAATGATTAACCTGTAAGATGAGCTGTTCAGGTGTACACAGAACTTTCTAAATGGGATTGCTTCTAGCCTCCAGAAATGTTTTGGTTATAACCAAAACCCTTTGCTGAACACTGATATTGCTGTGCATTAGGCTTATGGCTAGCCAGGGCTAAGATGGGGCTGCGGAAAGTGATTTATGTGCACTTCCACACACCAAGTATGTATTTTCAGGGTGCTAGAGTCAAATAAACTCTAATTATGGCATCACTTCAATATCCAATTACACACAGAGGAAGGGGAAGGTAGGATAACATTTGAATGTCCCTTTTTGTTTATTTAAGGTAGAGATCAAAGTCATCTTCTGTTTTAAGTTAAAACACAAGTAAGTGCAGCTGAAGGAATGCTAACTAATGATGCCAGTCATCTGGAGATGCTCAGATTCAGTCATGCCTTCTTTTTCTCTAGTTGTTTCCATGTCTCTACTCTCATTGTTTCCATGTCTCTGCTCTCAATGATTGTCCTTGCACAGTAATACATGGAGTAACAAACCTGGTTTGGTGCTTTAGACACAGGCTGAGTGTGGACATATTGAGGTTGAGTAGAGTAGAGAGGCTACGGGAAGCTATCATTAGGCAAGGGAGTAACAGACTGCAAGGTGTGTGAATGCTGTGGCCAAGAGTAGGGTCTTGGTSTCCTCTTCTGGCCATGGCATTCACATACCAAGAGTTCAAGGTCTTGCTCTATCCCAGGCTTCTTGTGGGAGCTTGCGTGAGTCATTGAGAGGAGGATTCACCTCACTTAGCTCTCCAGCAATGAAGTGTTGACAACAAAGGTGCTTTCTGGGGCCTCCTTCATAGCCAGTTCAGGGAGGGACCTCTTCCCCCGTCTTAGGATAGGGCCAATCATCCTGTGGAGATCTCTTTCTTTCTCTCTCCTGTAGAGGAGATTAGACAATTCACTGGGAAAAAACACCAAGCTTTCAGCTGGCCAGTGCTGGGTGAGATGAATTCTATCGTTAGCTCAAGGCTTTTTTCATAGGTGAGAGTTGTAATTCGTGACAGGAGGTCGTGTTCCACAGCTGAGAGGTCCTCTGACATTGTGGAGAGTCTTTAGACACCCCTGGATTCTGGGTAGCCTGTTTTTGTCTGTCAGAGATCTGTGTCATCAGGGGCTAGGGATCAGGCTGAGTCTATGGGCACAGTATCTGGGACACACAGATTCTCCCACATCATTTTTGGCCACATCTCTTGTGAGCCACAAGTAGTGAATAGGCAGATAGATGGCTAGTTGTGCTCTCCAGCCCTCACTCACTGGTCTGTGTTCTGCTGCCCACTTGTTGCATTGCTGGGGTGTGTATCATGTTAGCTCTTTGCAGAGGATTATAGATGTAGCTATATAGTGCCATATAGAGATGCTGATATACACACAATTTGATATCTTAAGACATTAGCAGGACCTCATTAGTGATTGCAAGCCATGGAGTTATTGTACTTGCCAAGACATCTACTGTAAAAAGCTAGGGAGTGTTTCTTACTGCCAACGTTACGTACTGATGACTTACTTGGGCAGGTAGCTGGTGTGAATGAAGGGACTGAGTGCACACTCAGCAAGTTTGCTGATGATTTTTGCAGTTTTGCAGTTTGCTTACAAAACTGCAGTTCTGTAACCGGCAGGAGTAGCTGATATATAAGAGCTAGGGGTGRTGGCTGACCTTCTGGTACGCAGCTCTGTGGAGATGGACCCAAGAGTTCTGGTGGACTGCAAGTTAACCGTGAGCTAGCAGTGTGCTTTTGTGGCCAAGATGGCCAATGGTATCTTGGGCTGCACTTCTCATTGGAGGAAAGGCCAAGAGAGCTGGGTCTTCTCAGCCTGGAGAAGACCAAAGAGGGATCTTGCTGATACGTATCAGTATCTGAAGGATGGATGTAGAAAGGATGGGACCAAAGTGTTTTCGRTGGATGAGAGTCAGTGACGGGATGAGAGGCAATGGATACAAACTGAACCACAGAAGGTTCCTCAAGTCATGGGAAAAACTTGTGTGCTGCCAAGGTGACTGAACCTTGGAACAGATTTCTCAGAGAGGCTGTGGMGTACCCCTCCTTGGAGATACTCAGAAGCCATCTGGACACAATCCTGAGACATGTACTCTAGGTGATCCAGCCTGAGCAGGAGGCGTAGACAATATGATCTTCACATGTCCCTTMCATCCTCAACCATTCTATGACTCTGATTTTGTGCTTTGGGAACCTGAATGGGATCTTCTCCCCTTCTCGCTCTCTTTTGCTGATGAATGATATGCGATGAAGTCCTGTGATGCTGATGATGTGATGAAGAAGCCATAATTGAAATTTTCTTGCTGGGAATCTCTTGAGATCATTATCAAGTGTGGGGGCTGTTGAAGAATCTGGGAGGAGAAGTCAGCTCAAGGCAGAGTAGCCACTGCAAGGGAGACAAAGTTGCTGAAGGTTCACAGCCYTGTCGACGCTAACCGAAAGAGGCAGGGAGGTGTGGGTTCATGAAGCTAACAGAGATTGGGACAGTTCTGGGGAGAGGGGAATGCCTGAAAGAAATTCCCAGTGGTAACTTTGGAGCAGAGTCTATGTGTGTGCTGGATGTGGGCTTATGCCATACAGAGCATTGCCCTACCTGCTGGTCTAACCCATCACTCTTTCTTTTTCTCCTTCAAGATCCTCACCTTCTTCGGACCATGACCCCCGAGAATATGTGCCACATCACTCCCCCTTCCCGCCTGGAGCATCCTCCTCCGCCKCCTCCACCTCCTCACCTTCAGGGTCCTCCCCCGCCTCCACCTCACCCTCACCAGCAGCAGCTCAACCCTCATTACCCCAGCCTGCAGCGGGAGATGTACATGAAGGCCGAGCCGTTGATGCCACCGTACGGCATTGGGCAGGGCATGTCGCCAGGTGACCTCCACAATGCCCAGCAGTCGCAGATGCTGCATCAGCTCCTCCAGCAACATGGAGCAGAGTAAGGCCTTCGAGCACTTTTGGACTTGTTTGCATGATTTGGGGAGGTGGGAATGAGGCATGTTGGGAGTYTGAGGCTTGCAGAACAAAATTACTGTTTTTAATTGCTAATTAGGAAATGTGCCCTATTTCTGTAGAAGAAATTTWAAAAAGCTCGGGAGGTGTCAGGGTGGGGATGACCTACCTTGGAGCAGGGATAGTCATTTGAAGTTGAATGTTGGGAATAGACAGAGGGGAATAGAGGGAAATAGACAGAAGGGAAATAGACAGTTGGGAATAGACAGAGGCTGGCAGTAGAAAAGCTTTAAAAGAACCTCTAGTGCCCTAAGTGAAAGTTCTGKTTTTTTTATGTAGGATCACAGCCTTTTCCTGATCACTTGCTATGGGCGTGTTACCACTTCCCCCTGTGCTCTTGCACCAGCTCATTCTTTTGCCTTTGCTTTCCTGTGGGTCTCCGCAGCCTCCCCATGCACCCTGCCAAGAAGAGGAAACACTCCGAGTCACCTCCCAACACCCTCAATGCACAAATGCTCAACGGGCTGATAAAGCAGGAGCCGGGTATGGGGTCCGTGCCACTCAACCCTGACAGAGTCCAAACACCCCCCTGGCACCAGCCGGGGGCCCTTTCACCAGGTATGTGGGSTTTTTGCCTCCCTCTTCCCTCTTAATCCCGCCAGCATGCAACCCCTTTGGCTAGTCCAGATGTCCTGCTCAGCCGGGGTGCCTGGGAGGAGAGCGTATGGGCACAACAGGGTCCAGCCAGAAACACTTGCCCCAGCTGGGTTCCCAAAAGAGGAGGAGGGTGCTGTACTTATAACCTAGATATACTGCTCATAGCGGTGCCCTGTCAGTCAAGAAGGCTTCAGGCTGCCCATGTGGGCACTGCCAGTAGCTTTCTTTTGCTCTTGTCTACCTAGATGCCTTGCCAGAGTGATTTAAGTATGTCTTTCCTCCTTGCCACAGGCCTGATTCAAGATAATGACAGCTTGAATGGCTCCTACCTGGATCCCAACTACCAGTCTATAAAGTGGCAGCCACATCAGCAAAACAAATGGGCAACCCTGTATGATGCCAACTACAAAGAACTGTGAGTAATGCGTTCACCTTTGGGGAAAGTCAGGTTCACCTTTTCCTGTCATTAGTGGCAAGKGACAAGGAGCCACTCGGCCTGGGGCAAGGGTCGTCTTGCCCTCCCCTCCCCAACATCCTTGTATTACCTGAGCGTCTTTGCTTGCCTTCGTTGTGGTGGAAATACTCTCCCTCTTTTACCTTTGCCTTTGCACAAGTTGCTTCTCTGCGTTTCTGCAGTGCTGCTGAAAGATTAAGAAATGGGGCTGGCAGTGCAGGTCAAGAAAGACAGTGGAAGGCAAAATTTGGGAACTTTGATGGATGCTCTTCTGAATGCCATTCAGCCCTTGCTGCACCTTGCTTAATAGGTGCCTTGTGCTGGCAAACCAGGCCTGAGTATGATTTGGCCTAGGAGGATCCATTTCCCTGGGCAGGCTTACCCAAGTCCTGGATTTTAAGATAAGTATTAAGATTCACTGAAGAATATGCAGCATGGGTGGCATGGGTCCAGAGCCACCTCCAYGCATCTTGGGAGCAGTCTAGAAAGGAGGCTGATGAGAATGGCTAATGAGTAGAAGAGGAGAGAAGGAGGAGTGATGGATGAAAGCTGGGAGGGTCAGGGAGATGTCAGAGAGGCGAGGGCAGTGGGTGGAGAGGAGAGCCRAGGTGGCTGAGGCAAACAGGGAAGCAGAGGGCAAGGCAGAGTGCTGGGAAGCTGCAGTGAAGGGCTAGGCTGAGGTGGGAGGGCAGGCTGACAGGATCCGAGCTGGACTCAGCTCAGCCAGTTAAAGGAAAAGGCCGGGGCAGAGGGAGGGTGGAGGCAGCGTGTGGACACCAGCCCGTGTATGGAAAGATGAGAGCTCAGGAAGAAACCGCTCTGCATCCTCCCTGCATTCCTCAAAGGTGACACAGAACTGGCAATCAGCAGGCTGCGTTCCAGGAACCGCTTGCCGAGTAAACACCCCTGTCTCCCCTCCTCGCGTTTCTACACGGTCAGTATCTGACCTGGTCCCGCTGGGAGGCATGGAGGACGTGGGGGTGCTCTGTCTGCCATACCAAAAATGCAAGGTTATTATCATAACTTGCCTAGACAGTGTCCTAAAGGGCTAAGGACACCTGGTCCGTTGTGAAGGAAGACGAAGGTCTTTTGACATGTACAAGAGCTGCTGTTGCAACGTCCGAGCTTCCTGTTCAGGGATCTCCTGCCAGCCCAGCTGTAGGCCCTGTGTTGATCTTCACCATGACTGGGGCATGTTGTTAGTTGTTCTCCTGCAAAGGAAAAGTGGCTGATGGATTCATTTACTTTGGTGACATCCTGTCATTTGCAAAGGCTGTGTGTGTAGCTGTTTCCCTGACCACAGCAAGAGAGGGGAATTTGGGGTCATAGTTATATCTTTTACTGAACTAATTAGCTCCTTATAGCTGGGTTAGTGAGGGGCAACTCTTATGCTGAGTGTCATTCCCTGTCTCATCATCTCCCACCTTCAGGTGGAATAACAACACCCATACTGACCTGTCCCTTGAAGGGGAAAGGAGGAGAAGGGAAGGGAATAACATGACAACATGCAGTTTCTGCAGTCCTTACCTGGAATAATAAGTTGTTTCCTTCATGAACAGCAGCACACTGCATGCTATCCTGTTAGGCATTGCTCCTCTTTCTTCCGTTTATAGTCCTCTCCACTGCTTTCTACATCAGGACTGTATTTCACTTTTCAGAATCGTAGGGGAGTCTCTCTCTGTCTGGTAGTTTTAAAGCCATCATGCAATCTTAAATCCCCCTTTTTGGGGTATTTATGGGGTAGTAGTCTGCTGAAGCAGGTATCTCCTCTGCAGAACTTGAATTCAAACTCCAGTGTTTTCTCTGTGGCCTGGAGGTTTTTCCTTAGGGTGTTATGGCTTGTCACCTTCCCAACAGGCTTCATTTGCCAAACTATTTTCCCATCACATGTTGTATGGATATGAGAGCTACTTCTGGAAACTTCTAAGTAGCTCCAAAGTCTGGTTGTGTAACCTGACTCTGTTCTCCGTGATCAGTTTGCTTTGTGTGGGAAGGGGGGACTTGGCCATCCCTCCCTGAGCGCACAAACATACTGGAGTCTTGTCCTGTTTTCCTGCTTAGAGCAGTGTTTGCACTTGAATTCCTCATTTCCCCCTTCCTGTAGCACTGTCTGAACACAACATTGCTGTCACTTGAATCTGAACCAGGACCTGAGCATCCCTGGGAATTTGCAGCACCGCCGTTCTCTTAACTGGCCAGGTGCCTCTAAGGTTTCCTGAATGTGAAGAGCTCTTAAGGCTCTTCAGAACATGTGGCCTATGGGGCCTACGGGGACTTGGGCTCTTTTCATTTGAGCACAGAAAAACGCCAGATGGACTTGTCCCTAGAAGGTCCTCCCAGTCAGCATTCTGCAGCATTCACTGCTTTGAGTTCTTCCCTTAGTCCATCTTCAGTTTCTCACTGCAGCCAACCACTCTCCTCCCAGACTATCTCTTTTCATGCCAATTTTGCCTTTCTCTGTGAGCATTTTAGTATTTTTGCCCAAAGTCAAAGGGACTCTGAAAGACGGAGGGGTCAAGAGAGAAGCAAAACCCTTTTCCAAGTAGGGCAATGYTTGGTCACAGTTTATTTGCCCCTGGCGAGTGGCTGAGCGAAAGAGTGGCCACTCTTCTACTTTCAGTCACAACAGTCCTTTCACCATATGGCAGACACATAACTTTACCTTTACTAGTAAGGGTAGGAGCAGACCTTTTGCCTGTCCTTGGTCTTAACTTTGACATAATGAATTCCCCTTTTTTTTCCATCTTGCTGTTTACATGTCGTGAGTGAATGGTCTCTCATTTGAAGCATGTCGCAGCTCTCTGGCCCGGGTTCTCACTGATAGATTTCAGCTTGTCACAGACCATTTTTCAGATGTTATAGTTCCTGATTCAGAGATTTATTGGAGATTTATGCACCCAAGTGTAATATAAGCAGTACTGGTATACAGCTATACAATACTTCTTGCAGGGCATGGAGAAGCTTCTGGAGTATTGAAAACCATAGCTTCAAACTCCAGCAAACCTAGCTCTCAGCTGCGACGTTCTTTGGATTTATGTCTACTTGCTAATACCTGCTTTTAAGATTTAGTGTGCAAGCCAAGGCAAAATTGCTTTTCTAGTGTTTACCTCCCCATTTGGTTGTGTAATGGATAAATTCCTTTGAAGGGAATTGATGCCATTTTTAGGAATCCACATGCAGTTTGGTGTGACTGTAGACTTGACCRGAATAAAAGCTTACAGTCAAGGGTTGATTAACTTGTTGTTGTTGTTATGTACTGCCTCAGTAGTACTTCCTCCTTGGTAGAGGTTAGCATTAAGATAACTCTAGGAGAGCCTGTACAAACTGAACCTTCATCTTTTCCTAAATGCAAAATCACTTAGATGATGAGGTGTAACTGCTCACAGCCTCCCTGGAGGAGATTTTCCCAGGTTTGTAGTGCTTATGCTGCCTCCTGTTCTGCCTCAGGGAAACCAGTCCGGTGGTTAGTGCCGTGCTAGAGACCCAGTCTAGATCCTCCTGCATCTAGGCATGACACTTTCTATTGGACTGGTATCCCACGGGTGGAGTMATCACTTTGGTAGTATTTTATTAATACATTTTTGAACTTTTACAGTATTTTCCACGTTGATGCCCATGGCCCTGCAGGGCAAAAATACAGTTAAATGATTTCTCATGCTCATTCTCTTCTCATTCTCATTCTCACACCCGAAGTTGGGTCCTGTAGCAGACTCTCTGCCAAGAGCAGGACAACAGTGTCTCAAAGACTGTTATATGTAGAGATCCATTAGTTGACGAGAGTTTTCCAGTTTTGAAATATAGATCAATATGGTCTTTCTTCTGTGAACATCTTGCAGGAAGATGCATTTCAGTGATGGGGACTTGGGTGTCAGTTTCTTTGGGATCCAAGAATCTGTCTGTGGCAACCAGTGGTACCATTATCCTGCCTTTGGGGGGGAAAATCCAAGTTGCTAGGCTCTTGACCGACTTCTGGGAGGACTTCACATGTACATTGACTGTGTCTACTGTCTGTCTGAGCTGCTCAGCAACAGAAGAGGGTACTCGGAACAAATCATGAAGAGATGTGCCCTGGGAACAGGTAAAAGTAATGTGGTCCTAATCTCTTGGGCAAAGGGTGAACAGAACATGTATATGGTGGATCTGCTGGCAGCCATGTGCCCTCCCTTTCCAGGGACTGTGTGGATGGCAGCTGAGACTGTTAGGAAGGAGATGCCATCCTTAAACTTTGGCTTTTTTTCCCCAGTTTCATGCTTATCACTCCTGCCTTGGCTACATACCCATCCACTCCATGTGACAGCCCTCTCCACTGGGAGAAGAACAGAGGGGAACAGGGCCCGCATGCTGTGAACTAAAAGGGTTTAGTTTTGATACAGCGTTCTTAGGAACAAGCTGGATTAACGTGGGATGTGTGTGAAGAATGGCGTTCGCAGAGAGAAGGCTTTAGTTCTCCCATCTCCCACTGAGCGTTGACGGAGGTCAGGAAGATGGAGAGCCAACTCCCCAACAGTCAGTAATAGTTCTCCATTTTCTTGTCAGAGCCCTTTACAATGGGTTGAGATGGGGTCGAGTTCAGTCTAGTGCTCCTGTCTGCCCTGAACACTCTTCCCACACTGCCTATCTTTGATAAGAGTCTGGTGTACTCTTTTCTCACCTAGGAGTTGAGTCATCTGCCTCTGGGCAAGAGGAATAAACCCTCCTGGCGCTGCCTCAGAGCTATCTGCTGATCTGAGCACAGCACATATCTAATATGTGACTTAGACCTGCTGTCCYGTGCAGCCTCACTGCTCTCGTTCCTGTTGGGTGGGAAGCAGAACTTCTCCCTTCTGCTTAAATGAACAGTGCTCCCGTCCAAGCCAGGCCAGCGTGCCTAACTGAGGCCATCACGGCATCACGGAAGGGGCTGCAATCTTGCATTTTCCTGCACAGATGGAGAAGGTGTCATTATTGTGCGTAATGGTGCTTCCCCAAAGTGGAGGAAAGGAGGAATCATAACATCATGAACCAAGAGGCCTGGAAATCTTTGTCATGGCTTGGTCAGCTTATGTCTCGGGCGTTGCTGTGGGCTGAGGAATCTGTTGATTTAAAGACCAAAGTCTCAAGATTAGTTTTATTGATAATGTATTTTTTTCCTAGCCTTTTGCACTAGTTTTGTGGTTTCRGACTCCCTGAACCTTCCAAAGGGTTAGTTGGTTTCCAGCAATGGTGCCCAAGAGGCCTGGAACAAGGCGGTTCGCTAATTTACTCTCGGGAACGGGAGTAATCCATCTCTCTGACAGCATGCTCTGATAAATCCCAGCAGGCTCCTTCCTCCTCCTCGCCATTTGTTTACAGGTTGAGGCAAGGCAGCTGGTGAGGGATAATGCAGAGCTGAGCAGAAACTTTTCCGTGCTGAGGCTGGAGCCTCTGTTCTCTGACCCCRGGAACTGGGCCAGTGTAGACCAGTAAACTGGTAGTTCTTATGTCTTCTACTCTGCAACCGGCCACARCTCAAGCCTTCAGTCTGAACTTGGTCCTTCATGCTTGCACTCCTTGATGAGAATAAATGCTGCTAGATACAGCATCGACCTTAGATACTGCAGAACATGGATCTCCTCAARGAGATATTGTCCGGAGCGACGTGATCCAATCCTTCTGATGGGACTTCCAGGTTGGATGGCACAGCGTCTTGGGCAAATCGCTTTGACCAGCTGGCTCCCAAAGGCAAAGCAGGCTTGGCAAATCCCGTGGTAATTGATCGCTGACATCTTGATCTCTCATGCAAAGAATRTGTCAGAGCTTAATTGTAGGTTCTATCCTACATTCTGGAATTTGTATCTGGAAAAAAAGAAAAAAGTAAATTAAAAAAAAAAAAAGGTGAGAGRGAATCAAAGGGTGTCCAGGCATTATGTCATACGAATGACTGAGATATTGGGTAATCTAGAAGGAAGAAGGGAAATGAGAGAAAGGTGGAGAAGATTTTTCTTCCAGAAAAGACGCAAGTGATGGCATGTGAGGATTCTTCTGACAATCCTGGCTCTCAACCACAAGTGTAATTCCTTCTTTTTTGCAGTGCCTTTTCCTTTGCCCCTTAATGTGGAGGGTGAGGGCATTTGATTCTCCCTGCTGTCTGGCAGCTCCTCTAAGCCTTCCCACTGCCAGTGGGGAGCTTGTCACCTTTCAATCTCAGTTGGCAGTAGGAAAAATCCTCTGCTATGATCCTGGCCTGCTGAGTCCCGTGTTAAACTTCTTTTGTTGATAGAGGCCTTTGGCTAAAACAATCCATTTGACCCCAGACCTTTTATTCCTGATAGTTTGCCCTCTGGGCCTTGTGCTCTCACTGGAAGAAGCCAGCATTGCACTGCCTGCTCTCAAACCATTGGCAGGGGCCAGTCAACAGCATCATTCCTAATCCAAGCAACCTGTTCTGATTTGGTATCAGCTGCTGTCCCTTCTCTTTGTGCTACGTTTGCAGCAACCACCCACCCCGAGAGAGTCTCTCAGGAGGGACGCAATGCCCAGCTGCCCTGCTGCAGGTCTGGTAGGTGAGCAGGGAGGAGAGGTGACTGTCACTCTGAAAGCCTGGGTTGAGGTGAAGCAGAGCTTTGTCTTGGAGCTTGGAAGCTTGTTGCTTCCAAGGGAGACTTAAAAATGTGAGGGTAAGCAATCACTGGAATACATAAGGCTGTGGATAAGGCTCCCAGGCTGCAGTTTGGGGTGGGGTGCAATCTCTGAAAGCAGTTATTTGGCTCAGCTAGAGGTTTCAGGCTGGAGGCAAAGAGCTAGGTAGTTCTCTCCCCTCTTTTATATCCGAGGGGCTGGATTCTTGTCTCAGATCTATCCTRTCAGGTCACTTCCACCTGGATGCGACACCTCACAGCCAACTGTAAAATCCTGTCCTTCAGGAACTCTGCAAAGGGGACCTCTGAGAACAGTGGGCCAGAGAGAGAAGGCATTTCTGGAAGGCAGAAGGAAGGGAACCCGAGTGTTTGCTTTCTGTCAGCAAGTGTTCATCAGCCATCAGCTTGAGTTAACGTTAACCAGAGCATGTTTTGGAAGCTTCACTCATTTAGTCAGCCCCTCACCTTCCTCTGCATTTTTTAATCTAAAAAACAGTGGGGTAAGCAGTTAGTGATCAAGGATCCCAGGTACTCAGAAGCTGTGGCATTTTGGGACAGTAAATGTTTGTGAAAGGAGTCAGGAAGGGTCCTTGCATCTGCTGGGGGTGCCATGACCACCTGGGTTGGAAAGAAGCTGCTGTGCTTGTGTAGTGAGTGCGGACAGGGAACAGGCGTTGGTGCTGGTGGAGAGGGCAGTGCATCCAGAGCCACAAACCTGAGGGAGGAGAACTACCTAGGCCTTTGAGGTGCCAGAAGGAGCAAGGAACCGAAGAGTAGGGTGAGAAGGACCCTCGGTGGAGTGGAAGGAGGTTTAGGGACAGGCTGCCTTCTGGGGTCTCTGCTGCTCTCTGAGGAACGGCTGCTGCACACAGAGCTGGAGCTGATCAGGCCAGCCTTAGCTATAGCTCCCCAGAGGGAAGAGCCAGCCAGAGAATTAGAGGCTGAAGTTGCGAGGAAGGCAAGAGCAGAGGGGAATTCCTCTCATACTTCCGAGCTAAGGTAGCGCTCTGCTTCCACCATCTGGTTTGTGTTCGGGGCACATCACAGGCAGCCCAGGGTCCTCGAGTGCAAAAAATAAGTAGTTACGGAGCCTCCCAGGCATTATTCATGGCTGCCTGGAAATGCCCTGCAGATCTCATCCACTCTTAACCCCTTATTACCTAGGTAGTCCCACGGTAGGGACCGTGGCCAAGAACATGGTATGAGGTGATGCGATGGGAAGGAACCAGTCCTGTGCTGGTACTGGGTGGAGTATGCTCTAGATGGCCTTGTAAGAAGACTTGTGGGTTCCCCAACCCTGTGGTGCTGTTAGAGTTCAGCTTTGAGGTCCAGTAAAGCTGGGCTCTCAGTATGACTTTGAGCTAGATGCTACAGTGAGACCAGTCCACCAGCCCTGGGCACAGTGTCTTGAGCAGATGGTCCTTGCCTCCTCTGTGTCAGCACACTGCAGGACTWCACTTGGTACTAGTACTAGGGGACCGTGCTGAAGCACTTCTACTGCAGCACATCTAGCTCGTGAGAAATTCCTCCTACCTGATTCTCTCATCCTGCTCCAGTCCAATTATTTGAGGGGGGAAGAGGGGAGCAGAGAATGGCATTTCGTCCCAGAGGAAAGGAGGCAGTCATCCTAAGAACACGTTTGGGAAAGAGGGCGAGGAATGCAGGAGAGAGTGACCTTTCCATATCCTCTGCTCCCTAGAGACTGCTGGGCTTGCTCATCTGATGATGTTCAGTGCTAGTCATCTGCAGCTTCTTCTCTTTGCCTTCTTCTTCCGTTGCTGTACTCACTGGGTATTATCCATCCATCTCTCTGGTTAATTCTATTGATAGTTGATGGAGAAGGTTGGGGCTGTTCTTTTTTTTTTTGGGTGTGATTTTTACAGTAATTTTTATGCCTGTTAGAAGAGGCAATGCTTCCTTTTTTACTGCTTCCCTTTTACTCATGTATGTTCCTTTAAGTAAAGGAATGTCAAAAAAAAAAAAGTGGGATTTGGGTGTTCTGCTAGAAATTCTTGATGGGCCGTGTGGATGAGAGGTATCTCCCTCACCCCCATGTGTCAGGCAGGCAACATGTGCTAGGGGCCCACCAGCCCTGAGCCTGGATTTTTGGTTGGTGGGAGAGAAAGGGGACTTGCTGCGAAGACCACATAGTTCCTTGGTTGCCGTAGTAACCAGCCCATTAAGGAGATGTAGATTAAACCTTCCCAGCTGGTATGTGTTTCTCGTGTGCAGCCAAGGTCCCCCCTCCTCCTTAGACAAGCCAAGGTGGGAGCTGGAGCTTATTACCAGCCGCCCGAGCAGGTGGTTCTGATTTCCCCAGGAATCCACCGCACAGACAAGTACTGCCTGGCAGTAGGGCCAATGTGGGTGACTCGGGGAATGTGGCAGAGCACAGAGACGTGGGAGTCCCCCTTGTTTGGTCCAAACCAGCAGTCGACTTAATAGGAGTTTGATCTGGGCCTTGGGCAAGCTAGTGCCGGTCGCACAGCATGTGGAGCTCTGTTATCTCTAGCACAGTTGAACTAAAGATAAAGACCTGCTCTTTCTGGAAGCATCACCTCAGAAAAGAGATGATAGCCTGTTGTGGCTCGTGATTGTCAAGGGTCTTGCAGCCCCGTTTATAGTAGAGGGATATTTGCTTCAGCATCTTCATCGAATCCTTGTCGTAGGAACTGTGTTTCTTTGCAGCTGAAAACCCTCCTAAAAAAAAATGCTTTGAGTTTCAAGGGAATATGGAAGTTCTGTGAAGTCTCATCCCTGCACAGCAAGATGGCTTTGTTGTGAGGGCTTAGACATGCCRTTGTGTTCACATCAGGTAACGGTGCCACATCGCTCAGTGTGCTGCTCAGCCAGGCAAGCACCTTAGAGCAGCGTCAGTTCAGCCCAGTATGGACTATGTAGCACGTGCTGGTCATCTGCACCATGGGCTAAACGACGCTAGCGCCTTGTTGCAAACTTACCCTTCTCCTGTGTGCTTGCTGTGGCTCAGGAAAGCTGTGTGACTGTGTGTGTGCACAGATGTGGCCTTCARCGTCTGTAGAGAGGTGGGACTGTTGGCACCACAGTTGCTCTTCAGGTGTGCCTGGACATGAAAGTGATCTCTCTCCTTGTCCTTCCCACCTCCTGGTAATGGAGGTGGTATGGTTCATGTACATTCTGCATAATGTCCATGTACCATGCTGTGTTCACCTCTTGCTCAGACAGGGGCTACAGCTGCTGCTGGGCTGCTCATCCTCCCCTCTGTCAATATGAGACTCCGATTTTGTGCACGAGACCTTGGTCTAATACCTGCTGCCTCTTCCACAGCCCTATGCTCACCTACCGCGTAGATGCCGACAAGGGATTCAACTTCTCAGTGGGTGACGACGCCTTCGTGTGCCAGAAGAAGAATCATTTCCAAGTCACGGTCTACATTGGCATGCTTGGAGATCCCAAGTATGTGAAGACTCCCGAGGGCCTGAAACCCTTAGAGTGCTTCTACCTGAAGCTTCACGGAGTGAAGGCAAGGAGGAGATAAGGGTGCAGCCGGGAGAGGGGTGCATGACAGATGTTTGGGATCAGGCAACGCTGCGTCTTTCACATGCTAAGTTGCAGATGTATGCATAGGAGAGTGCTGAAAGTTAAAACAAAGCTTATCCCTTGCCTGTGCTTTCCATGACCCAGCAATTTGGTGGTGGTCATGCCTGGGTCAGCAGATGAGGGCCCATACTGTGCCAGTGCCTCAGGGTTKTCTTCCCGCCACTTCATTGCTAGCTGCTTGAAGCCTGTCTTCTRGCTCTGCCTGCAGGCAGGAGACAAGATGGGAGTGAGCAAAGCAGCTAAGAGCTACAGACAACAAGAAGTGTTCCTTAGGGAATTAGGCATGGCCAGGCTTGTGACTAGGTGTATTTGCATTTAGGACACTAGCTGGAAGAGAACTTTTGGCCTGAGCTATGCCAAGAGCTCCAGCCCCTCTCTCCCACCCATTCATAGCTGCAGAAGAGGAATAGAGAGGGGAGCAAGGGAAACATGGTGTTTTCTGAGCTGGGTTTGATRTAGGCTGGAGAAAGGCCTCCTCTTGTATGCCAGGACTGGATGTAGATGGACTCAGTCACTGCCTGGGGCCTTCAGGTCTGCCTGTCACGCTCTCCTGACTGCAGAGGAATATTGGCACTTGGAGAAAATCTCATCTGCTTTCATTTTCAGGCTACCTCCTGGTAAGGGAAGCACTCGTGCTTGAATAATACTCACACTGAGGTTAGGTGTTGTAAGTTACTTGTTTGGAATCATAGGAGGGTCTGGGCAAAAAGCTGGCATATGCAGAGTCTGGGGAAAAGGAGCTGGGATGGGGAAAATTCCAGTTTTCCACCTTGTCACATGCTTGGTTCTTTTCCTCCAGCTAGAGGCCTTGAACCAGTCCATCAACATAGAACAGTCACAGTCAGACCGCAGCAAACGGCCCTTCAACCCGGTCACGTGAGTATTGTCGGGGATATGTTCATGTGGGGGAATTGTTTTTTGGGAATAAGAAATAGGGTGGAGAATGCCCAGACTGCTACTGTGGGTATAACACCCTCCTTTTCTCTCCTCTGTCCCCTACAGCAAAACTTGCAATTTCCTACTCCACCCTGCACTACTTGAGCCTGTACTCAGTTCATATACCTGCCACGGTGGAAGAGGCCGGGAGAYGGCCCTTCTCTGAGGATCCTCCTCTCCAACAGTGTCCTCATTCATGTCTGTTTTCCCTTCTCCAGGGTCAACCTGCCTCCAGAGCAGGTCACCAAGGTGACTGTGGGGCGGCTGCACTTCAGTGAGACCACAGCCAACAACATGCGAAAGAAAGGCAAACCCAACCCCGACCAGAGGTGAGGAGTGGAGAGGCCTTCTCCTGGCTGCTCTCAGCACTCACAACCTGTAGATCTGCCAGCCCTCAGCTTAGAGAGTGTAGCTATAATTGGGGGGACAGGGAGATGGGTCCTGAATCCTTGTCTGTGTGGAAGAAAGAGGATGTCTCCTGTGCCCAAAAGAAGGGCGTCTCCCACTCTCTGAGGGGTTGGAAACATTGGATGCACCCGAAAGCATAAGGAGAGGTGACATGCAAAGCCTGCCATGACAGCCAGGTGCCTGCATCCTCCAGAGATGAGCTAGACTCAGCAGTTCCTAGTGTTCTGTCCCTGCCACAGGAGTGGCTTCCTGACCTGTCTCCCCTCTTGTCAGGTATTTCATGCTCGTGGTAGCTCTGCAGGCACATGCCCAGAACCAGAACTACACGCTTGCAGCTCACATCTCCGAGCGTATCATCGTCAGAGTAAGTCAACTGTTTGTCTCTACCTGACTTTCAGGATCCCTTTCTTTTTCAGCTTCTAGAGTGCCCGATAGTCCTTGTTGGACTGCCTAGGCAATCTTCTTACCTTTCTTTGAATTTTCAGAGCTTTCCCCTCCTAGCCCTTGCCTGCCTTCTCCAAAACATTACTGTCTTGCCTATAGGTCTGCCTGGGTTTTCTCTTTAGCTTTTACACACCTGCTGAACCCACGTGCTCCAACCTGAGCAGCCCCAAGGCATGCAAGAGTCCGTTGCAGGGAGCCATGGACAGGGAAAGCCATCCATTCTCCCAAGTTTGAACAGCTAATTCAGAGTATATCCGGTTGGAGTGTGGGCCTGGTGTTGCTGAGATTCTGCAGCAGGGACCAGGCTCCAGGAGCAGGGCAGCCTGGCTTGCCTTCTGGGGACCTCCTCCTCTCGCAAGCGCTAAGGCARCAGTGCTCAAATATGAATGCACAGGAGCAGAATAAGACAGGTGCTGTGACCCTCCCAGAGCTCTGCTGAGAGAGCTTTCAGTCACGGGGCCTCAAGACAGGAGTCCATGACTTCTGCGGGACAGGCTGTGATGTTGTGATGGGCTGTGCCTGCCCTGCAGCCTTTTAAGTGACTGTCCATTCCCTCTAGCAAAGGGCTGGTGCGGGGGTAAAACACCAGCAGAGGACAGACGGTGACCCTAGAGTCTGCAGACAAGTAAGTATATGATGAATTATGCAGTCTCCAGGGTTCTCAGTGCAAAGCCTTAGGGAACTGCTAAGGGCTGCCCAGTCTCAAGCCAAGTTGGTCACAGCTATAGCAAGGCCTGCACAGCGGGCCAGGATCCTAGGAATCTGGGCCCAGGAGCAACAGCCACAACACAGTCTCCTTCTGCAGACTTGGTAACTTCCTAGGAAATGAGCCTGTGCAGTTCTGGTTGGAGTTGTTGAGATCATTAAAAYGGCTCTGAAAACTGAGATAACAGACATCTCAAGAGAGCTGGTGTGCTCCTTTGTGGAGAGGGGCAGAGCAGGCACGAGGGAAAGCACAGCCTTGCTTCCTCTGGAAAGAAGCTTGCACAGGGCCAGGCCAGCGGGTGAATACCAAGGGTGTCTCTGTTGTGAGGACAGGCTGGGACCTGTTCCCGGGGCTGGCAGTGGAGCCCTGCGACTGTGTGTCGCTGCGACCTGCTGCAGCGCTCTGTCTCGTACCTTCTGGGCCTTGCTGATCCTGCTGGATATACCACACCTGTCTCTCTGCCTCCCTGCTTTCCGTTTTGTGAGGATGGGGCCACAGATCAGTCTTGAAGTCATCATTAAGGTCATAGTTTAGGTGAACATAGTTAGAAGGGCATGTCTGCCAGGATCCCAACCCATTGGTCTCCAGAGCCTCCTTCTGACACTGAGACCACCTGGATCAAAGTGTCCCAATTTCACCTGAGATCTTCCACATCTCTAGTTCCTTTCTGGAAATTTCTTTTGGGCACAACTGGTCCAGAAATTTTGGAAATTTGTGGACACAGCTGTATCATCAAGGTGTTTCTGCTAATGCCCAACTTTGTTTTCCATCTGTTTTTCTCCCATACTATTTGGAATGGGGCTCTGCTGGAATGAGATGCCTGATACTGTGCAGATCAGCGTGGCAGATATGACTCTCCATAACTGCATCTGTTGTCCATGACTTGCATCTGTTGTCTGTGTGGTGTATCTTGCCATCCACTCTCTCTTGCTTGCCTTAGTGGGCTGGGTCTGAAGGGCTCTGCAGAAGTCCTTAGTCCATTTCTCAGAATGTGCCTGGATACTTTTCTCCCTTGTGTTGTTACTGCTGCTGTTGAGTCTCTGTTTTCTTGTCTCTACAGGCCTCAAACCCAGGTCAATTTGAGAGTGATAGCGATGTGCTCTGGCAGCGGGCACAGCTCCCTGATACCGTCTTTCACCACGGTCGAGTTGGCATCAAYACGGACCGCCCCGATGAAGCCCTTGTGGTCCATGGCAATGTGAAGGTCATGGGTTCCCTGATGCATCCTTCAGACATGCGAGTGAAGGAGGACATCCAGGAGGTAAGAGGTGTGAAAACAAGGCTACCCTCCGGATGACTGAGGATCTGGAAGCACCAGAGAGAGTGTGAATGTCCTTGTGTACCTCTTTCAGCTGACAATTTTGACTGTAACATAGTCTTTTGGAGCGGCTGTGAGCTGCCTCTCTTGATAGGCTGGAAATACCTTAGCAGTCCAGCTGTTTCTATCTATTCCTAACACAGCCTGACCAGTGTGTCCTAAGGAATAATACCTCTTCCTTCAGGAGAAGGAAATGCAGATCTGACAAACCTGGAAGCAGTTGAATAYGTGAAACAGCACACTGGGACCTTAAAGAGCCTGGGTGAAAGACTCAGCTCTGCTCTACTTTTAAAGCCGGATGTAGGTGTACAAAAAAAAGCTGGATGCAATAAAGTCTCATATTTGTGAGAATTGCCTCTGTTCCCGGGTGTGCAGTGGGGTTCCGTCTTCTGGCTTCACTGTCCAAGAAATGTTTCCAATGACAAGAACTGGAGAATAACCCCGATGCAAATGGTATTTGTCCACATGACTAGTCTGAATGGGCTTTGGAACTGGTTGTAAAGGCATTTTGCAGCTTGCRGTCAGGGTTAGGGAAACTTGGGAAGCATTTGTAACATGCCTGCGTTTGTCTCTTGTCCCAGGTGGACACAACAGAGCAGCTGAAGAGGATCTCCCGTATGCGACTAGTACACTACAACTACAAGCCGGAGTTTGCAGCCACTGTGGGCATTGACAACACCTCTGAAACAGGTGGGCTCCCAGTTTCACACTGTGGTTTCCCACTTATGTCTGCAGTGCTGCACCTCACGTTTTGCAGCCTACAGCGACATTTGTTTGCCGGTCCCAGTGCCGCTCCCTGCCTGCTTTGCAGCCGTAGCATGTTGCAAACTCTCTACCGTGGTGGCTCCCAGAGTGGTAGAGATGTGTGGTATGGGTGTAGGAGAGAAAGGGCTTCTCATCACCTCAAGTTTAGGTATCTAATAAAGTTCCCTCTTTAGTGAGGAACTAAAGCAGCTCAGAGCCTCTCTTAGGCCACGATAAGGCGACTCCAAATCTGGAGGGAGCCAGGACACAACTGTGTGCTGTGTGTAGGGTGATGCAAATATCCCTGTCCCCATAACATGAGAATCAGCTGTGAGTGAACAGCTGCTGCCTTCACTCTTTTTCATTCACTCTTCTCTTAGAGAATCTCAGTGGTGTGTAGGCTGCCCAGGCCGTGGAGCCTCCGATGAGCTCTGCACAGGGCAGGATGAGTGCACTTGAAAGGCTACCAGTGCAGAGGGRTCTTGCCAACAACCTCATGGGCTAGAGCAATAGTTGTAGCGGGACAAGCCCTGCCTAGACTGCTGTGACCTGTTGTGCCATTTCCACCCAGGTGTCATTGCTCAGGAAGTAAAGGAGATCCTCCCAGAAGCCGTGAAGGACACTGGGGACCTGGTGTTTTCTAATGGAAAGACCCTAGAGAACTTCCTGGTGGTTAATAAGGTCAGTAGCAGCCTGAAGGGCAAAGGAGGGCCAGTGAGGCTAGGTTGGGGGGGGACTGTGCAGAGAAGTTTCTGTTTTGTTTTTCTTAGCATAAAGTTGGAAAGGGAGGAGTGAAAATGTGGTGCCTGGGAAGTGATTCTCAGCCAATATGCCTGTATGAGGTTCAGACCGGCCTGGTCTGTCAAGTGTCATGAACAGACCCTGAATGGATGGCAGAAACAAACAGGGAAGAAGTAGCCTGATGGTGGAGGGCATCTCCCTCAGGAAGGGCTTCTTGTTGGCACCCTTCTTTAGGGAGAGTCTTACTCATAATCTTTCCTTTCTAGATAAGATAGAGGGGTTAGGTCAAGATAACCCAGAGCACCTGGCAGCCTGACCTCTTCCTAACCTATGCAGCTTGCTTGCTGCTCCTGGTGTCAAGGAGGTATCCTCCCATGGCCCATGTCCATAGTGTTCTCTCAAAGAGGCCAGCTGTCTTTCACATCGCTGTGTCCTTTCTGCCCAGAAAGCCTGRCCAGAACTTGAACTTAGTGCCTTGTTTCTGTTTTGTGGGAGGCTACATCCCTGCAGTTACATCACCAGCTAGTAGCAGCTGGGAGCACGAGCTTTTGGATCTTCTGGCCCGTGTGTTCATGGCCAGCATGTTGCAGTTCACCAACCCTCAGTTCAGAGAGGGGTTGAGTGTTGTTGCATGGTGCAAGTTTCAAAAGGGCGTGTTACAGCAGGCTGTGWGGTTCACCTAGCTGAGCAATTCAGCTTCTGAAGAGGCATCTATCTGCCCCTGTAAATTATCCATGGCATCTAAGATTCCTTGTTCTCAGCACTGAAACAGCACACAAAAGCRATGTGCTGCTTCAGGGAGCAATATGTGGGTTGTAACATCTGTTATTTTGATAGAGTTTGAAGAGAGTTTCTCTTATGCCCTCATCTAGGTGCTGTAGAGATTCAGGTGTGCCTTGGTRGGTGATTCCCCCTGCCTCCTCAATGCTGGATATTTTTGTGTAGCTTTTTTCTTGGGGTAGGGGATTGGGATAACAGTTGGAATGACTGGACCCAGCATGAGAAGCAGGAGTTTCTACATGTGCCAGGCCACTTAGACTTCAGACCTGTCCCCTGGCAGGAGCGGATATTCATGGAGAATGTTGGAGCTGTGAAGGAGCTGTGCAAGCTGACGGACAACCTGGAGACCCGCATCGATGAGCTGGAAAGATGGAGYCATAAACTGGCCAAACTCAAGCGGCTGGATAGCATGAAGTCAACTGTGAGCTCTGGGGCATTCAGGTACAGGCATGAGAAGGTCAAGGGAGCAAAAGAGGTGTCTCCCTGCAAGCCCAGGCAGTCTTAAATGCCATTTCAGTTTGGGAAAGTGAATCTGGGAAGGAATTTGGAGGAATCTTCCCCCCTTGGTGCTGTTAACTYGGTCTGGGAACAGTCGGTTATTGACAGTTGCCATTTGGCCTGTGGTAGAGTTCTGAGATAGCTCTGCYGTGCACTTCCCWACATCTTTAACMTAATCYACTTGATTCCTGGGGCAGAGTTCAWGCTCTTTGKGCAATTCGCTGCATCTGTCCCTGCAGCAGACTGAGTGACAGTAACTCAATCTGTGACTGTCATGTTGCAGAGAATCCTGCTCTAGCAGGAGTACACCTTTTCTCTGAGAATGGCTCCAAGTGCAGTGCCCTGTGCAGCTCAGCGTAATTCCTCCTTTCTCCTTGCAGCCAAACAGGCAGCCAGTTCAGCCGTGCAGGGAGCGTACCCCACAAAAAGAGGCCACACAAAGTAGCCAGCAAGGTAAGGAACCATGCCCAAAACACAGTGCTGCGCGGGGAGGAGGTTGTCTGTCCAGGAGCAACTGACTCTTTTCTCTTATTTTTTCCTATGTATGTTGAAAAGGAGAGATCCTGTCAGTTCCCATTTTCCTGCCCCTCCTACTTGTGGCAGCATTTTAGTCCAGGCCTTACAAAAACATTATCTGGCTTCTGCACTGAGGGGATGGCTTCCTTGGAAGCAGGAAGAGAGCTTTATCTGGGCTCAATGGGATGGGCTGTCCTTTAAACAGAGGGCCAGAGTGGTGAGGTGCCCTGAATGGGTCTTCTGGTGTTTCTCTTGCAGTCACCATCAGTTGTTCCAGAACAAGCCTGCATCAGCCAGCGCTTCCTGCAAGGCACTATCATTGCCCTGGTCATCATCATGGCATTCAGGTAAGTCTGCACACCCATCCTGCCTCTTCTCCACTCTGACTAGGAGGGATTTCTCTCGGAAAAGTCATAGTTCACCTTGGGAGGATCCTCCCCAACCCAGTAGTAGTGTGCTGGTCAAGGACACCCTCTCACTAGTATGCTGCATTGCTGGGGATCCTTGCTGCCTGCTAGAGCAATGATTTTTTCCATCTCAGTACAGAGGATTGTTGTTGCTGCTCTGGCTTGCATAAGCAGGACCAGCTCATCTCAGTGTCAACACGCTGACATCTGCTTGTCCAAGCCCTGAATACCATACTTGGCTCCATCTGCAGACCTCTGTCCATCTAACACTAGCCAGACCCTTGTCTCCATCAACTTCCTCATCTCACACACCCTTCTAGCATAGCCCATACCTCTAATTCTTGTAGTGCCACCCCAATACCCATTCGGGTTTGGGGAGAGGAGGCACACGAATCATTTGTCTTCGTTCACCAGCTTTCTCCTCCCTGTCTTTTTCACCGCTGAGCTGTGGGACATGCTAAACAAACAGTCTATATTCCTACAACCTTTTGGTTTGGCCTGGGCCTGCCTGACCAAGCTGTCCATACTGGAAGCACTGGATTTGCTTCATTTGCCAGAAGCGATGTCACTCCTCACTGCAATCTCAAGGCTTTCAGCACCAGCACAGTCTGTATGCTGGTGAAACGTACAAGTGCCTTGTGAGACATCTTTCCCTGTCACACCTCCCCACCACACTTGCTGTCCTCAGAACAAGCAGGCCAAGCTCTCCCTGCCATCCCTAGGCCGGGTAGTGCGAAACTGTGGACCTAAAGCTTCCTTCATAGGCTGAAGTCCTGTGGAAGCAGATCGGTACCAGGACCTGTCCCTTGCCCCATGTGTATCCTCAGCCTGTAATCATGTCCATCTTTCCAGTGTGGTGTCCATGTCTACCCTCTACGTGCTGAGCTTGCGCAATGAGGAGGACCTTGTGGATATTGATGGGTAGGTACCTCTGGATTCTGTGGGAAAAGTGGGGTGACCAGCGGGGGATCTCCGAGACACAAATCACTGCAGGGTGAACGATCACAGTTCCAGGGAGTCAACCTGGAAAGCCAAATGCTTTCTTGCACCTAAGTCTGACCTCGAGAAAGTTGTTTGGAGTAGAAAGAGAGAGAAAGAGAGAGAAAGAGAGAGAAAGAGAGCTATTGTTTGGCTGCTCATATCCCTACTCATGGCCTGTCTGAATGTTGTTAGATGCCTCCTCAGCTGGACTGAAGCAGCATACGCACACTGGTTGCTGTGGGGCAGAAGCAGCCTGTGCTAGGGGTTTTCTTTCTACAAATTGTGTCTCTGTGTGGGGAGAGCAGCCAGGGAACGGCCCCAGCCCGACAAGCTTGCCCCGGGACAGGCTGTGCTGCTCGTTTACTGTCAGTGCACTTTACTCCTTTTGGAGTTCACTTCACTAGATAATAAGTTTGTTTTTCTCTCTCTCCCTATCTAATTTCTCTCCATTCCCTTTTCTGGTTACTTCTTTCATCTAACCCACTTTCTTTCCACTATGTCCTTATTTTTTTCCCTTCTTGCCTTTTCATTTCTGTTATCTTCCATTCTCTCCTGCTTTCCTCCTCTACCAACCTCCTTTTTCCTTTCACTCCCTGTAGCTCTTTTGCTGTGCCCCCTGCCTGTCTCCTGGCACTCTTTCGGCATAAGGGTCCTGGGGTCCCAGTTGCTCTATGTCCACGGTATGTTATTCTTTTATTATACTGTTATTTAATTGCTGCATCCCTTCTCTCAATTCCTCTTGTTTTTCTTCCATTTGCACCTCAGAAAAAAAAAAAAAAAAAAAAATCCTGAGCAAGATGTGAAAGCAGAGAGTGATAGGAATATCCTTCAGCAAGTGGGATTCCAACGGGAAGGATCATGGATCTCATCAGGAAGTATGGAAAGAGCATTAGGATTAGGGGACTTAACAAAGGCTGAATAAAAAAATTACATATTTCAGGTACAGCAAGAATGGGCAGTCTGAGAGGAGTGAAAACAGTATGCAAAAAGAATAAAGACTTTCAAGGATGAGCTGAAGGGATGTTACTACCTCTTTGTATGTGAGTAACTTTATTATGAAGGGTCACCTTGAAGTAGGAGATGGCATATTGGGAGGAAAAAGGACAGAAAAAAGTTATAATCATCGGCACAGGGARTGTTTGGAAAGATTGACATAAATCTGGTATCTGACCCAGGCAAAGGCAAGATACTGAGGTACCCAGCTGCTCAATAAACTGGGCTCTTGTATTTTACGACTTCAAGAAAAGTAATATCTTAAACAAACAAAAAAGGGAAAAAGGAGAGAGAAAAGAGTGTCTCTGGGAGGTAGGGTCTTACAACAACAGAGGGAAAGCTGGCTGAGATCCTAATCAGAGCAGACCTGTAAAATGCCTCGACTAACATGAACTGCAGGGATGCAGCTGCATACTTCCCTTAAAAGGAAAATGTCTTATCTGTTTATCAGAATCCTTTGGACAAGTCAGCAAAATACTGCACAAAGAGCAATGCAAGGCACAGTTCCCCTTTTCCGTTAAGCGGAATGTTTCACAAGAGGCTATTAAATATTAAAAATAGCAGTGGCCACGGGATGCAAAATAAAGCTATGTGTGAAAAATGTTGACGAGAGAGGGAGAAACTTGAGGGATAGTGGTAGGTTTTCAGCTCTTTCAGTTAGCGTTGGAGGATGATATTCACACAGTCTCCAGGAGACTGAGGTGACATCGTTCTTTCAAGAGGAAATAAATATATGTATGATATACACATATGTATGATATACACATATATGTATGATGTACACATATATAAATATGTGTGATATGTGAAGGTGAGTGACCTAGAGTGTTGAGACCCAGGCATTGGGCATGGTGATGAGCATAGGGGCTCCCAGACATGAGGATTTTCAGTGTGACTGTATGAGGGTAATACAGGGTCTGAGGTCATAAAACTGCTCAGGAAATGAGTAGTAGAAAAGAAGTTCTCTGAGGACAGATTATTGCACAGTGATCACTGAGGCAGCATAAATGGTGTCCTCTGAACCAGCTGGGTCTAGTTCATGACAGTCTTGCGATGCCTAAACCAGTCTACAGGGGCATCTTTTTATCATCTTAGCTGTTTGTGTGCCTCTGTCCTGCGTTGCTCTCCTTTCTCTCACAGCTCCTTCTCTCACCTAGTCTGCTCTTCCCTGGTGCTGCGCTCCTCATGTCTGCTTTTGCTCCACATACCAGGATCCATCACCCGCTGACTGCTACAGTCACTTCTCCTAGTGCATGTTGTCCCCTGTACTAGAGGTTTTCATCTGTATTTTCCTAAATTTTAGGTCAAGTCAGAACTTTGATAAAACTCAGTTGGTGCCATCCACAGTCACATCTGACAGAGCCAGTGACAGGACCTCAACGCACCAAGGTGGGTCACAGYATTGCAGAGAACAGCCAGAAAAGCACTGTCATGTATTTGTGGTGCAGGGTGATGAACATGGATGGATCTCTGTGCCAGAGGTTCCCTTGCACTGGCCCGCTGTTACGTTGGGTGGTCCTGAGTCTGTGGTTTTGTGGAGAGGATGCCCAGGCCTCTCCGTTCTACTGAATGTAGATGTCCTCTCCCTTTGCTTGCTCTGAGTGTCCCTACTGTTTGCCCTGCAGTCACAGTGAACGTGCATGACTCTGTCTACCGTTTACCTGGCCAAAGTGTGCTGGCGTGTTTCAACCCTCCGTGTTTCTCCACATGCTGCTCTGCTGCTCCCACCAATGTCTCCTCCACTGCCCTCTCTGAGACCAGCCCCACTCGTGCCACTAACAGGACAGGTAAGTACCAGCACAGCAGGAGGGARGTACTGGGACAGTGCTGAGGTCTCTCAGTCCTACTGTTGCTTCATCTTGTGGCTCCAGCTCCTCTTCATCTCATTTCCTCCCTCTGCACCTTATGAAGAGGATCCCTGTTTGTAGCACCTGCTGCCTTTGAAAGTCAGCTTCCAGGTGGAGGGAGGGGATCCTGATCCTGCCCCTCAGCTCTGTCGAGGCCAAACCTGGAGCACTRGGGGCAGTTCTGGGCTCTCCAGGACAAGAGGGACATGGAGCTTCTAGAGAGGGTCCAGTGTAGAGTGWCAAAGATGATTAAGGGGCTAGAGCGTCTATCTTAGGAGGAAAGACTAAGTGAGCTGGGCCTGTTTAGCCTAGAGAAGAAAAAAKTGAGAGGGAGGGTATCTTAACAGTGTGTACAATAACTGGGGGGAGGATGTAAAGAGGATGGGGCTAAACTCTTCTTGGTGGTGGCCAGTGATAGGACAGGGGGTAGATGGGTACAAATTGGAACACAGGAAGTTTCATCTGCGTGTGAGGAAGAACCTTTTTACTGTGAGGGTGACAGAGCCCTGGAACAGGCTGTGGAGCCTCCTCCTTTGGAGATACTCAACACCCACCTGGGTGGGATCCTGTGCAACACGCTCCAGGTGGCCCTGCTGGAGCAGAGTGGATAGAGTAGATGTACTCCAGAGGTACTTTGCAATCCAAACCTTTCTGCTGCTCTGTGTTGAGACCCAACCTAGCAGGCAGTGTGTGGGGCCAAGTGTGATTGCCCGGCTCGTCAGCCTTCCCTGCCGCAGCACAGCGTGTTGCACGCATCCATCGTCATGCTGCAGGGGTGAGGACTACAAAGTCCCTGGCAGCTGCCTGCTCTGCCAACCTGGGGCCATGAGAGGCTGGGCAGGGCAGGCCAGCGTGTCCCTTGCAGCCTGGTGTCGTTGCTGTGTTCACAGGAGCAGGGTTTGGACAGGCCATGAGGCATGCTGCCTCTTGTTGTGCTTTGGAGAGCTTGCTTGCTCATTGAAGGAGGAGCACTGCTTCAGGCAGGGCCTCTGGAGTCCCCGAACTCCTGGAGTCAATTTTTAACCCTGTATTAGACRCTGCTTCCTATCAGAGCACAGGTCTGTGCTCCCACTTTGTTCCTGCTGCCTGTAGGTTCCATTTGCTGCAGTGATCCCATCGTTCTCCTCACACAGAGCACTGGGGGGACTCAGCTGCTCGTAAAGGTATAAAGTGGGGACAGAATGAACCCCCAAAGCTTGTAGCTGTTCCCTCTACACTTAGCCCTTTCACCCAGGTGAGCTGAGGCTCCGTGGGGCTTGAGAAGTTGSGAGGGCTGCCTGGCTTTCTCGATTCCTTGAGTACAACCTCTCTCAATTCTTCTCTCCCTCTTTTCTTTACAGACCAAAGTCAGATCTCGCTTCTGCCAGTGACAAATATCAAAGCTAAATCGAGGGGTGTCACCGGGAAAGCGACCTCCTACGCCAAATGGCCAAAGACACCTGACAGGTCTCAGGGTTTTGGCAGCCCCAATGCCAGCCCCTCCTCCCCTTTCATCCACGTCCAGGGCAAATCCAAGTACATCTCCAACCTCTCGCTCTCCCGCAGCAACTCGCCGCTGGGGCAGGCCCGGCAGCAGCGCAGTGTCAAGCAGCCGGTGAGCGAGTGGCCCCACGCAGGGCATCTTGGCACAGATGGTAGGTGGACCCTCTTCTCTTCTGTCCCTGTGAAAAAAACTGTTTTTCTGCTTAACATGGGCTAAACACCCAGCCAGAGAGTAGAAAACTCCAGTCCGCRGGGACTGGGGCACGTTGCAAGGGCAGTCAGCCACCTCTGGAGCTCAGTCTGATAAGGGTGCTATGTGTTGCTGGCAAGGGTGATTAAAAGACGTGCAATAGGCAGTGTTTGCAGGATTCGGAAGCCCTTCTTTGTCAACAAGCAGTTGCACTCCCCACTGTGCAATTTCACACTCGAGGTCGGGTCTCGGTGCCAGGAGCAAGAGGGATGTCTGTCTCGGCTGCCCGTGTTGTTCYGGGGGTGAGCCCAGAACCTCAACAGCAGCCAGGCCAAGCCAAGCCATGGCAAAGCAGGGTGTGATCACTGGTGTGAAGCATGGTGTGCTTCAGCTCAGCAGGGCCCAGTACTGTGTGAGGGTGGAGGTGACTCACCCAGGCCGTGACTGCACAGTCCAACAGCAGTCTGAGCCCTGCCTCAGACACCACCTTGAGGAAAGACAGTTTCCATGCCAGACATCTCTTCCAGTCCTCCTTTTGCTCCTCTTAAATAATGTTTCATATCCACAGGGTCAAGCCCAGTGCTCCGTTCCATCCGGCTCTTGGAAATTAATGTAGCCATCCAGTCGCAGTACTGTGCTGCCAGTGACGCGTGCAGGTGAGCAAGGCCRGGCTTTCCGACAGCTCTGATGGCAGCAGTGTTCTGAAAGCTCCTGTAAAAAAGAGCGGACAGCCAGTTCTTAGAACCTCGTGRCTTCATCTTTCCTGCTACTGTCCCAAGGCAGCCCATGCTGCCCTTGGGCAGAGGTACTGGTCCACTCTCTGAACTCAATCCCTACTCCATTGCTGGGCATGCCAGCAGGATGACTGCTGCCCCTCTGGACAGTGATTTGGTGAAGAGCTTGGTAGCTGGACAGSGGATTCCTATCCTCTGAAGTCCCAGCCAAATAGAGAGTCTGGGTCTTGTCCTGGGCTGTCTTACAGCAGGATGAACTGGTGTTACAAAGTCTAATGCTCCTTCTCTGTCCTCAGGACTGGAAACTTCACCTACCGCATCCCTGTCAGCCAGCTGACAGCAGTAAACACCAATCTGACCCTGGAGATGAAGTGAGTGACCTAGACTCCTTTTTTATGTTTTTTTTTTTTCTGTTCCTGGCAGAGAGTAAGGGTACAGAACATAAGGTTGGTAGGGATCCATCAAGATCCTCTCAGAGAGAGAGGATTTGCGGAGTGCCAGTCAAGAGTGGACCAAGAAGGAGGTGAATCTAGAGTGTAAGAAAAGATTAATGGGGGAGATGGTCTAGGAAGTAGGATTTGGAACAAGAATCCAAAGATAATTGGAGTAGTAAGCAGATACCACAAGGAAGGATCAGGAGGAGCTGTGAGCAGAAGTATGGGAGAAACTGTCACTCCTGTGGCTTCTAGTGGACATGTGGGCTTGGGGAATGCAAAAATACAGTGGAAAGTTGCTGGGATTARATTTCAGGGTGGGCAGTCTGCTCTTTTGAAGTCAGAAAGGTCACTACGTGGCCTTTCTGTCTCCTGCAAGTGCTAGGAAGGACACAGCGCAACCTGCTCCCTTTCACGACCTCACTGTCTTTGTCTCTCTAGCACCTCTTCTGTTGTATCCATCTCCCTTTGTGGCCTTGTCTCTAGCGACCCATGCCACGATGCCACGAGCACGGACAGCCTCATCAATGCCACCGACACCCAGGTAAGGGATACGATGGTTCTCAAAGCCCACACACTCACAGGCAGCCAGGTGTGTTATCSTGGTACAATGCAGTTACCTCCAGAGCAGGGGTCAGGTGAGCCAAGGCAGTACGAAAGTGTCTTGAGAGGTTTCATGCTCTGATAGCCTTACTGTGTACTTGCTAATGTAAATGTACTTCAGACATGTCTGCATGCTCCCCAACAGGGAACTGTTTGCCTACCAGATGATGGATGCTGTGATCACTCATATGAAATCATCCCACCCAACCCTAAACCTTGGGCCTAAACCTAAGGACTATTGGAAAAAGCATAGCTGAGACAGTATGTTGTTACACCTGTCCTAATGACACTCTTCTGGGAGTATATTCCCCACAGGTCCCTGTGGGCTGAGTCTCTTCGTGAGTTATGATTCCCTCTAGAAGCGCAAAAAGTTGGGGTTGGGGGGAGGTTGACAGTGTGTTAGAGAGAAGTGTAGTACCAGGTTGCAGTAGCTTGCTGCTTCCAAGGCAAGGTACGTGATATGGCAAAAAGAAAGGGAAAAAAAAAAAAAAAAGGCTGGCTGTGTTTTTAGTATCCCAGGAGGCATTAGCCATATTTATTAATATTTCAAACGAAAGCTCAATTGCTCAAGGCCAAGGGAGCAATAATTACCTGTGCAATAATGACAGCTGCTTTTCCTTTGGTCTCTGTGATGGCTGAAGCAGCAGCCCAGTTGGGGAGCTGCACTTCTAAGAAGCTGAAGAAACAAGTGTGGATGTCCATTCTAAGAACCCAAGGGTGATGGGGAGAGGGCCAGCTTCCAGAAGAGGCAGAGAAGAGGCGAGGAGCTTGGCAAGCACTGTACTCTTTATAAGCCCAGTATTTTGTTGCATGTTTCACCAGCCTTTCCACCAACTAAAGCCAAGGGCTGGGCCAGCTTCCATGCTTGTGATACCTGTGGAGCTGGGTCAGATGGTTGAGTGGCTCTTTGTTTCACTCGGTCCAGCCCTGTTGCTGACCCTGGTTCCTCCACAAAGACAAGCTGTAGAGTCATTCAGCACAGTGGTGTTATGTATTTCTTGGCCAAGCCCAGGAAAAAGTTGCCTGATGCTCAGGGTTAGTCTCATCCCCGCTGTTGTGTTTTCTTCCCCAGGAAACAGTGCACCGTTGGCCTCTTGTGATGATGTCTTTCCAGGAGTTCACCTACCACTTCAGAGTAGCACAGCCTGTGAGTACAACTTGCCTTTTTTCTTGTCCAGAGCTGAATGCAGAGTGGATCAATAATACCACAGAAGAGTGGGCAGAGTGGTCTCTGCTCATGTGGTTAGTGGCCACATTATGCCTGTAGCCTTCCACAACCCTGTGTATTTTGCTTGTTCCCTTTGACACTGTTACACGTGTACTGGAGAAAGGTAATTTACTTGGGGAACAAGTGCACACTCATGCACTGGGAAGGGAAGGACGATGGAAGAGCAATCCTGCTCATATGCGTGCTTAGAAGAGCGTATGATTTGTGTACCCTGAGGCAGTATGTGAAGCTGGAGACTCACCACCCTTCACTGTCTCAGGCTCTAGTTGAGCCCCAGCTCCCTTTGAATACGTATCTTGCTCCTGTTTGTAAGCTGCTTTTCTTACTCTGTTCACATAGGGTCGAGCCAACTGCAGCACCGCTCCTGAGCAGATTGGACACCTTTTCACTGACTATTATTTTCAGTTTTACTGGCTCTGTGAGTGAGTCCTGGCAGCTTCRGTACCCCCTGGTTGGAGAGAGGAGGGAGACTGGTGGCACAGGGGAGACTTCTCTGCACCCTCTTCCACTAGCCCCTGGCCTCTCCTTGTCCCTGTCTCCCGCTTCGGGTGCGGAGTTGGTTTGGTGTTGGCCTGTTGACACAGACACAGCGSAAGCAGAGCACAGGACTTAGGCCACAGAAACACAACCAATCCCGCCCTTCCTCTTGGACTGACCTTATCGCTGACTGCTGCCACCCTGTGCTGTCCTAGACAACTCTCCCCTTCCCCTACGGGGCTACCTGTGCCCTCCATCACTTCTCCCTCTCCCTGCTACACTGGATTTGAAAGCATTACACTGGATTGTATGTGGATGGGCCTGCCACATCCCAGAGCGCAACTGGGAGCTCCACCGTGTCTACTGGCCCCGAGGTGCTGCATTCCCTCTCTACAACACTGGAATTGCTCAACAGTGGAGGCCTTATATTGAAACACTGGAATTTATTGTGGAAAGGAAGGCTGTGCCTAGACGTACACTGGAGTTGCTGTTCCTTCACAGYGGCCCAGGGCCATTCCTGTCAGCCCCGTTCCACAGACTCCTGGAGGCCACAGGGTCCATGAATTGTGTGTTTTCTGCCGACGACAAGAAAAAGGGCAAACGTCACCACCTGCAGGTTCCCTTGCCCTCCTCACTGTGCTCCAGCCTCCACAGTACACAGGTCTGCATGGATGAACACAAGAACCTCACTGAGATGCTGCTAAAGCTGTGCACAGACCTAACCACGTGGCGGGGGGATACTTATCAKCAGTGCACGGGAGAAAAATTACCCAAGAGTTACCTGCCCCAAGTGCCATGGGAACCCGCTCCTTGTCACCGCGTGTCGCCTCTGTGTGATGGGCAGCTGCTCCGCTGGCTGGGGAGTCGCCACAAGCACCGCTGCCCAGATGTGCTAAAGGGAGCCCAGCAGCAAAGGCTGCTGCAGCCTGCGGAGCAGGACGGGGCTTGTTCCACACGCCGTGGTTGGTTTCTCCGCACTGCGTGACGAATGCCTCTCTGCTGTCTGAGGAGTTGCTGCTAAGCAGTGAAGAAAAAAAGGCTTATCTCCTACCACAGAGGCAGAAATGACAGGGACTGTGGGCCCCCACTCTCACTGTTGTTCCCAAAAAAGAAAAAAAAAAAAAAAAAAAAGCAGTAATGTTAAGTGTATTTTGGGTATTTTACTGTTACAAAATCTTAACTTGCTAAACCACTAATTTTTTTAAGCTGTATAAAAGAAAAAAAGTGCCTTTTCAGTCTGTCACTGCTGAGCTACGTGTTTCTCACATAGGAAACCAAAGGGGGCTTTGCTAAGCTCCGTGTTAAAGCCTGACTTGTACCGTGGTGCTGGGACGTGTCAGACCGACAGCTAGCAGCGCCCRCGTGTCCTCCTCCCCATCCTGCTCCAGCACCTCTAGTAAAGAAGTAAAGACGGAAACATCTTCACTCCTGGATGCTGAGCCACTACCACGTTAATACTTTTGAGACTTGTGTTTTTTTTTTTTTTTTTAAGGAAGCAGCAGCCACTTCTGGGGAAAGGAGATGGCAGGGAAGGGAAAAATGCCGCTCTTCCATCCTGAAGCAAACTCAAAAAGTGATCTCAGAAAACAATCAATCAAAAACAGCCCTGTCACTAGAAGTTGGCAAATCTAACCAAATTAGGTTTGGGTAAGCAAACCAAGGCCCCAGCTGCTGGTCTGCAGTAGAGACAGTTTCAGGCTGTTTTTAACCAGCCCTGAGGAATGCATGGTTGACATGCCCCAGCAACAACACCAGCTGACTCTACTGTGCCAGAGACACAGGCTGCAAATACCTTCTAGCCAGATGCAGAGATGGTTCCTGGATCRATCTCATGAGAGCATTCCCTGGTCTGAGAAGCAGTTTTTATCTCCCTTGTGTTTCCAAARTTCGGAATCAGTGGATTTCAGAATTTCTTTTCTGAGACTGTCCTGACAAAGGAGCCATAACMCTGCAAAATTCGTGGGGTCATTACTAGACATGGGCACCTTTTATTTGCAGGGTGGTTTCAAGGTCAGGTCTTCATTGCCATTCTGTGCCTTTGGACAGCAAACGTTGTTAATATGCTCCAGATATTGAAATGCACTTAAGCCCTGGCAGCCGGGAAGCAGAGCGAGCAGGGAATTTCTGGCAACCAAGTGGGTATGGAGGGAGCTCAGGGGGAAGCAAGGTGGCCTGGGGCTTGATAGCAACGGAGCACAAACAAGTCAGCTCTGTTCGCAGTGGGAATTTCTGCTCCTGCCTGCAGCTCAGAAGGAAGCCCACTGCAGCTCTCTGGAGAGGACACTCAGCGCTCTTCCCGTTCTTCCCTCTACCTGCCCTGAGCTTTTTGCTTGGCCTTAAACTGGAAACCTAACTTTTTTTTTTTTTGGCAGCTTTTATTCTCGATTTGGCAATCAGTGGCCCGGTGAGGTAAGTCCATGTTCAGACGAGTGAATCTGTGCTCTTCAAGCTCTGCTCACCTGAGAGGTGGYGTTCCCAGGCTCTGCTGCTGCTGTCCCTCCCCTGCTGAGCTGGACTTAATGCTTGTGCTTTCATTTAGCAAGCAAAGAGGTAGTTGGCAATGTCACAAGAGCCGGGGCTGAAACACTGCCTGGAATCACCACCATCCATCTGATTCCCCACAAAGTTCTCAGGAGCAGGGGCTGAGGTGAGCAAGATCCTCACCAGAGAGGTGTCATGGCCCAACAGGAGATGGACAGTCTCTCAGCTATYCCTGGGACATTGCACATGGGGTTTGTGAGGGGCTGTAGCAAACCAGGTGCCTAAGGGCTCCTGGAACTTCTCTGTGGCCCGTTTCTGCTAGTGGGATTGTAGCAGAGGACAGCGGCTTCCCACATCTACMAGAAATGCTGTGTGCCCCCAAAACGTTACTCCAAGTAGTGAGACAAGGCAACAACTGAATTTCCACACCTACCCATGTGTAGCTGTTCCAGAGTAGCAGTGGGTGACAGTGAGCTATGATATTGAAGAGTCAGATTCAGAATGCAGTTTTTAGCGTCACGTCACAGTCGTATTCTTTATCTTAAAAGTATATCACCAATCATAGGCCAGTTGTGCCAGCCACCTGGCAGCAATACTAAAGCAAGGCAGAAACTAGAACTTTACAGGGTTTTGTGATGCTGTGGAAGCAACTGCTTGCATAGCCGACCAGAGAAGATGTTTCCACCCTACTCACCTGCCACTAAAGACGTTGTCCCCGTCCTCTTCCCAAATCAGTGCCAAGAGAGTTATCCRTCAGGTCTTTCCCTGCCTGAGATAGAGGGAGCTCTGAGCCAATGTCTCCAGCATGTCAGCTTGGAGGAAAAACAAAATCTTTTTTTTTGGTCCACCTGGAAAGTAGAAGCTTCATCTCAAGAATCTATAGGTTCTTGGCAGGAAGACAAGTGTGAAAATGAGGCCAATTTCCAAAGCTTGGCTTTTCTGTGGTTTGTTCCAAAAGCAAATTCCTAAACCTTCTTTCTACCCTACTGTTAAAGCTTAAAGCCTGTAAATAGAGACTATGCCACCACTGCAAGAATTAAGAAAAAGTAAAGCACTAATTTGTTTGGTTTAAATGTTGCTGTCACAGCTTTAATCAATGTATATTGCCAGCAAGTCTGTAGAGTTGCATTCTTAGCAGATATTATTGATTATTGGTTTTTATTTGTGGGGAACAAGTGTGGTTTCCCTCCTTTCTTTCTGATTTATATTTATATTTTGCTGAATTTGCGTGCTGAGTCTCTGTATTCGCCACATTTTTGTTGAGCTTATTTAGACTGTTTTATGCTGAAGGTAAATAAACCCATATGAATAAATATATAAATACTGCTTTGTATCCAGGGATGGCTCCTGAGTGCATTCCTCCCTTGACCTGAAAAAAAAATATCATTTCCAGTAATTATAAACTGTTTCTCATGAAATACCAAGACTGAATGACACCAGCTTGAGTTTCCAGAATTGCTGTTGGTGGGGCCCACCTCGGCCAAAACGATCATAAATGTGTGGCTTGCTCACTGTTGTACAAATATTAAAAGGCATCTATCGCTGCTTATGGTTCTGCAGACAGGGGCAGGTGCAGAAGCACCTAAGAACACCTGCACAGCGTAAGGTTCCTTCCAAAACGGAAAATGAGCTGTACATCCGTCAGCTACCCGCTGAACGTCAACCTCTAAAACCTAATTGCTTTGAAAGCAGAGATACAAATGCAAAAATACCATTCAAACATAGTTCTACTTCCCATAGATAAATAACTCACTGCTTAGCTGAAGGCCAGAGTCAGCTGTGAGGTTTATGCGAATGTTCAAGCGTTCTTCCAAAAATCTGATTTTCCACAAGCACTGTGGCACTTAGTGCTGTGCCTGATGGACAGGTCTTATTCTTGCTGTGCATCTGAGGAGCCACACGAACCTACCCCATGCTTGTTTTACACGTGCTGCCTTACTTAAGCCACACTGTACATTCACGGGGCCACTGCTTGCAGCAACACCCTTTGCTGCCAAGTCAGCCCGGAAGCGCAGAGCCTGGCTTAAGAGCAGGATCTGATACTTCCATCAACTGTTTTCCAGTACARGAATTCCCAGTTGCAGACTCCAAAGGGTAAGTGAACGCTTCGGAGTAGTCCCTGTTCCGCTCAGCATCTGCAAAGGGCAATTGGCTCTGCTGCCCCAAACCCAGTCCAGACAGCTGCTCAGGACAGCTGCCCAGTCCGGACAGCTGCTTTAGCTCAGGACAGCTAAAGGTTGAGGCATATAAGAGCAGATTTAGGAAAAAGCAGCACGAGTTTGTTTTCTTTCTTGTTTTCTAGAAGTCTCTCTGTAATAAGGCACAAGATGGCATTGAAGTGCTTCCTAGGCATACACGGCAGTAGAAATCTCTGATCAAGGCCAAGGGAGTTGGGGTTGAAAATCCTTGGGATTAAGTTGCAGGGGATTAAAATGTTCAAAGGCAAAGTCCTTAAAAATAACTTTTTTTTTTTTTTTTTTTTTTTTTTTTTTGATAATGCTAATCCTGAAGACCACAGGTAAGGTCCAGGGATAAGGCATCCTTTTATTCTTTTCTTTCTATTCTTCTCTTCTTTCTTATTTCTTTATTTCCCCTTCCACTTACGTTACTGCAAAGAAATCACACATACTTTGTGGGGCACATTTCTGTGCCTGTCAGACACCCAGTTCACAGTGTTTTGGGATTACAGGGCAGTGCTGATTTTCAAGGCCTGTTAGAGCGACAATACATTTTATAGCTGAAATCTATCACAGAACAAAACACCTACAATCCAATAGCTAGCTTAAGTGGTTATTTGCCTGCTACTCACTAGGGCCTATGAACTTCAATGCCAAAAAAAAATTAAGCTGCTTAAATTCAATATCAGCAATGTCTGAGATGCCACCAGTTGCAGTTTTACAGCATTAATTAATTTCTCCAGTGGAATGCATGTTCAAATTCCAATTGTGTGTTAAACACCCTAGAAGAAAATCTAAATTACGCTTTATTCCTATCAACAGAGCTGCTCCTGCAGCTGAAAACATCCTACGAAATGGCCAATTTACTTTTGAGTGTAATACAGGGTCCCTCATCCCAACGCACGCTGACCTTGTGCCAAGATCAAAGCAGTTCTGCAAAGCCARGTCACAAGGATCAATATAAAATACAAACTGCATGTCCAAAAGCAGGTGCATCACAAAAAGACTTTTATTGAGCTTTTTTTTTCTGTTGTGCTGGCAGAAGTCACCTGATAGGMGCACAGTCCATGTCTGGTGTAGGTTTTGTTGTTGCCATATAAAAGAAATACAAAAAGAGTTTCTGCGAGGCTTCCCACCTAGAACCAAGCAAGAGACGAAGCAGATCAGTGAGACAGTTYTCCCCGGAGCACGCCCTGTGATCACACTTGCTGTTACTAAAGYTGCACCTTATCAGGGGGATACCTGGTAGGGGTGAGCTTAAGAGAAAACTCCACATACACCCTGAGGGGCAGATTCTGTGTGAGATTTGTTCAAAAATGGCATTACCAGGCCCGAACTACGTGACAAAACCAATTCCTTAACGCTTCCAGTGGGAGTTAATCCCAGTTCTGCACTCGTAGYTCACAGACAGGGATGGCTGTGCACAGGAGCACTCTTGAGCTGCGGTACTGCCTGGTTTTGTCGTAGCTGAAATTCCRGCAGAGGTGCCGTGAAGAGGAGCGGGCAGCTCTGCACCACTTGCTGCCCCGGGCGGCCGGGCTCCTCAAGGGGCTCCCCGGCAGGAGGCCGCCTGGGGGGGGTTACTGCATTTACCCCCAAAAGTAGCCGGGTTTGGGCACGCACAGCCTCTCCCAGCCGTGCCGCGAGGATACGCTTCCAGAACACCCCCACGTGCATCACCAGCATTAACAAGGGGGCCAGCCTGGTAATTAGCACTAACGAGCACCAGCAYTAACAAGGGGGCCAGCCTGGTAATTAGCACTAACGAGCACCAGCATTAACAAGCGGGCCAGCCTGGTAATTCGCACTAGCAAGGCGCCCTACCTGGGCCCCTCCGGCCGCCGCTCACACGTAGATGCCGACCCAGAGCAGCAGGAAGAGCACCCCGAAGCCCATGAAGAGCGAGGCCACGAGGGAGATGAGCAGCTCCTTGTAGATGTCCCGCGTGTACTTGGTGGAGGTCACCTCGTAGCTGCGCGCTGCCGGTTAAGGCGCCCACGAGCACCGCGGCCGCCCCCGCCCGCCCCAGCCCGGCCCTCCCCGGCCCCGCCGCGGCGGATACACGAAGAACCAGGCGGTGAAGAACATGCCGATGGCCAGCAGCACCACGGTGAGGTGCGGGAACACGGCCGGGTTCACGGGGCTCGTGTATCTGCTCATGGCCTCCAGCTCCTGCAAGGGCGGCCGCGCGGCTCAGCCAGGGCGCGGGCGCGTGGCCGGCCGCGCTCCCCGGGGGACCCCCCGGCACCCGCGGCACCCCGCGCACCATGGCTGCCGTCCGCGCCGCGACACGTCGCCGTCCGTCCGCCCGCCCGCCCCTGGCCCCGCGCGCCGGCAGCGGAAGGGAGCAGCGCGGCGCCAGCCGGGAGCCCGGGGGAGGAGCCGCCCGCCATTGGCGACGGGGCGCGCGGCGCGCGGCGGCGGGTGAGGGCGGCCGGCGAGCGCCTCGCTCCCTTCCTCGCTCCCCTTCCCGTCCCCTCGCTCCCTTCCTCGGGTCCCCCCGCGTCCCCTTCCCGTCCCCTCGCGCCCCGCCGGCCGAGGCGCGGGCTGCGGCGCTGCTCTCCGCTCCGCTTCTCGCCCTCTCTTCCCCCGCCGGCCGCGAGGTCGGCCCCGCGCCCTCCACGATGGGCATCCACGGCCTGGCCAAGCTCATCGCCGACGTGGCCCCGGCCGCCATCCGGGAGCACGACATCAAGGCGTACTTCGGGCGCAAGGTGGCCGTCGACGCCTCCATGAGCATCTACCAGTTCCTCATCGCGGTGCGGCAGGGCGCCGAGGCGCTGCAGAACGAGGAGGGCGAGACCACGAGCCACCTCGTGGGCATGTTCTACCGCACCGTGCGCATGGTGGAGAGCGGCATCAAGCCCGTGTACGTCTTCGACGGCAAGCCCCCGCAGCTGAAGGCGGGCGAGCTCGCGAAGCGGACCGAGCGCCGCGCCGAGGCGGAGAAGCAGCTGCAGGAAGCTCAGCAGGCCGGAGAGGAGACCAACGTTGAGAAGTTCAGTAAGAGGCTGGTCAAGGTGACGCAGCAGCACACGGACGAATGCAAGAAGCTGCTCAAGCTGATGGGCATCCCTTACGTTGAGGCGCCGGGAGAGGCCGAAGCCAGCTGTGCCGCCCTGGTGAAAGCCGGCAAGGTCTACGCGGCCGCCACCGAAGATATGGATTGCTTGACCTTTGGCAGTCCGGTGCTGATGCGGCACCTGACTGCCAGCGAGGCTAAGAAGCTGCCAATCCAAGAGTTTCACCTGAATCGCATTCTGCAGGAGCTGGATCTGAGCTGGGAACAGTTTGTCGACCTGTGCATCCTCCTGGGTTGTGACTATTGTGAGAGCATCCGGGGCATTGGACCCAAGCGCGCTGTCGAGCTCATCAAGCAACACAAAACCATTGAAAAGATTGTTCAGCATATAGATACCAAGAAGTATCCTCTGCCTGAGAACTGGTTGCACAAAGAGGCCCAGAAGCTCTTTCTAGAGCCTGACGTGGTAGACCCCGATGCTGTGGAACTGAAGTGGACCGAGCCAAACGAAGAAGAACTCGTCAAGTTCATGTGTGGGGAGAAGCAGTTCAACGAGGAACGGATCCGCAATGGCATCAAAAGATTGAGCAAGAGCCGGCAAGGCAGCACCCAGGGCCGCCTGGATGACTTCTTCAAGGTGACGGGCTCCATCACGTCAGCCAAGCGCAAAGAGCCAGAATCCAAGGGATCAGCCAAGAAGAAAGCAAAAACTAACAGTGCAGCAGCAAAAGTCAAAAAGGGGAGATAATCAGGCTTCCCAAACCACTRTGATTGATTTGGGAAAAAGCAACTCAAAGCAAAGAGTTTTAGGCCAATAACAAACAAGTATAATTAAATTCCCAGACTAGGAAAAGATTTTTTTTTTTAATACTGTACTTTACGTATTTTTTTCCTGTAACTTGTCAAAGCAATGTGCTGTATTTTTCAGAATAAAATTTACATACAAATAGAATGTGTTTCAGTTTTTTTAGTGAGGTACTGTTGAAGGCTGTACTTGCACAGCTGAAATGAAATACACATTTTAAAGCGCATCACTTACAGTAGTTAACAGATGCAGGATAAACCTGAATGTAGGAAATTAGGTTTTAATCCCAGCACTCTTGGTGGCTTTTTTATAAACACCAGTTCTAAAGATCTGTGAGTCGGTTCTCTACCGAGTTTCAAATGAGAAATTCAACTTGTCTCAACAGAGGAATTCCCTTAGCGTTGTTAAAATAATATCTGCTTTKAATAATTTCTGCTTTTGAGTTCACAGTACATTTTATAAAATATTACAAAATATTCTGAGCATTCTGAATTCTGAGAATGTCCAGAATATTTTGTGAAATCTTCTGTAAACGGAAGAAGAGGGTGAGGCAAAAGGAGAGGGGGAGCAGGCGAGGAAGAAGGACATAGAGGGGAAGTGGGGTGATGCAAAGGGAGAGGGGGAAAGAAAGAGGTAGGGAGGAAGGGGGCAGGTTAAAGAGGAGGATGGGGGGAGGAAGAAGCACGGAGGGCGGAGAAGGAGGTGAGGGAAGGGGAGAAGGGGAGCGGAGAGGAAGTTGGGAGCTGGGCCTGTGTCCGTGCCGCAGAGCTTTCAGGATGTTCTCAGCCAGCTCTCCCATCTGCGGCCTTGCCAGGACTGCGTGGTGCTGCTTTCACAGCCTGCTCGAGCGCTTGCTGTGCTGCCCGTGCCTGATACAGCCCAGTGCCACATCYCTCGCTAAGGTACTGCAGCCTCGCTCCTCATCCTGAAGACCTACTTCAACTCTGGAGCCCAAATCATAGAATCACAGAATCACAGGATGCTTAAGGTTGGAAGGGACCTCAGAGGTCGTCTAATCCAACCCCTGTGCTCCAGCAGGGACGCGCAGGGCACAGGGTGACATCCGGGCGGGTTTTAAAGATCTCCAAAGAAGGAGGCTCCACAGCCTCTCTGGGCAGCCTGTTCCAGGGCTATCACCCTGCCAGGTAGCCAGCAGGAGCAGAAGGAGACGCTCCGTTGGCCCTGGGAAGGGTATGTGGGGAGTGTGAGGTTTGTGGGCTAAGGGGAAAGCCAAGCTTGGAGTCCCTGCTTAGGCACCTCCATGGCCCCACAGGCTCACAGGGCTCCAGGCCAATCAGTCAAGTTCATAAACAGCAGGATTGATTCAAGTGCAACATTTACAAAGCAGGTTTTGGTCGTCTGTATGGGAATTTCTCCACTATCCCGTGTTGTTCTTGGCTAGCTCCAGTGTACTRGTGTGCAATAACCACCCCCAAGAAGATGGGAGAGGTCTTGCAAGCTCCAGGAGTCTCCTCTTCAGGCAACATGTGGAGCTGAGAGCAGAGTCCTCCCCTGCACCCCACTGCATCCAGGGAGAAGCTGGCTCCAAAGCTGAAAGCCAAAGTTAGTTTTAAACCCTAGTCCAGTTGGGATGTGGTCAAGTGCCCCTCTTGTGTGCAAGGAGGGATGTTGGTGGTGACACAAACAGGGCCACCCCTTTTGTGGGACAGGCGCCCCCCCCCCCCCAGTCCTTGACAGGGTCATCCCATCCTGCAGCACAAAGGGGCTGTTGGCACCGGCCACCCCAGCTGCCCCTTTGTGCCTGTGCCTGAGCCAGGGCTCGGCCTCAGCTCCCACCAGGCTGCAGTGGGGCCGGCTCTGCTGTCCCAGCTGTCCCTGATGGGGCACGTGGCCTCCCTCCCATCCCACTTGGTGATGGGCGGCAGCTGTGGGCCCTGGGGCTGGGACCAGTCACAGGTGGGGCTGGGAGCTAAAGGCTGTGGGTGGGCACAGCCTGGGGCTGAGGTGGAACCAGAGGGCTGCTCCTGCTCCTGCTCCTGCTCCTGCTCCTGCTCCTGCTCCTGCTCCTGCTCCTGCTCCTGCTCCTGCTCCTGCTCCTGCTCCTGCTCCTGCTCCTGCTGAGCAAAGACATGGGGTGCACTTGGGGCTGGGGGTCCTGCTTGTGCCAGGGAACTGAGGCAATGCAGCCAGCTCCCCTAGGGTGGGGAAGCTGCCCCAGGGCCAGGAATGGTGGCATCCTGTGGCAGTGGGATGGAGGATGTGGTAGGCCAGAGCGGTGCTGCAGGCTATGGAGAAACCTCTTGCACCTCCCAGGCAGCCTCTTATGCTCGGTTTCTTCTGTCATCCAAGCCCTGGGCTTGTTTTTTCCCTAGCTTCTCAGTGTTGATCTTGGTTTTGTGAGCCCTTTACTCCCAGGGTCAGTGGCCTTTGACTGACCTGAGGCTTGTGGGGAGCTGCGGAGCTGCCCGGTTGTGCTGCTGCAGCGCCGCTTGTCTGGCCGTGTCTTCTGTGCCGCAGGTGCCGTGTGTGTGTGTAGCCTGTCTGTGGAGGGTGTGCAGCTGTGGAATTGTCCCCGTGTTGTATGAGGAGTTATCAGCATCAAACAGCGTGTTCTTGGATTCCTGGAAGTTGTTTGGGGGATCTATCACTGCATTTAATGTGTGCAGCTTGTGAGGGTTGGCACCTGGGGGTTGTGTTTCTTTTCGAATACAAGGTTTCTTTAGGAAATGGCTGGAAGCCTTAGAAGATGTAATACTATGTAATACATACATAGTACATCATTGGCATTAAGAGGTTTATTCAGAAGGTTTTGATTTCCAAAAGAGATATTTTCAGGGGCCCTGACAGGACAGGGCTGCTGAATCTTGATGGATATGCAGGAGGGCAGGAGCTCCTGCTGACATGAAGCGATTTGTGGCAAGAGTCTTGTGGAGTGTAATTGCTGTAAGGAACCCCCAGGAATGGCCAAAACAGGATGGAATGCTTCCCTCTGATCCCGGACTCTTGGGCCACTGCTCTGGGCCCTGGTGCCTTCCAGGCCCCCCTTTCRTGGATTTATTTCCTGTCTGGTCACAGCCTTGGCCTTTGTGGCCTCTTCTGTGTTCCTCCTGTGGGCTTATACATACTAATATGTCTACTAAKGTCAGTAATAGATGGAGCCAGTAAAAGGTATTTTGCTATTAGAATATATACATTGGTGTTATTTATTATATATAAATATACACGGCTAAGGGAGTGGGGTCCTTCACTGCACGGGTGTTTAGCAGCAGGCGAGGGCAGCAGGGTCTGTCGGGGCGGGGCGGCGCCCGCGCTCGGAGCGGCTTCCACAGCGAGGAGCAGCCGGACAGGGCAGGAGGCGGCGCCGACTCGGGACTCCGCACAGGGGACGCCCCGCTCGGCGCCTCCTGCGCATGCGCCCCGCTCGGCGCCTCCTGCGCATGCGCCCCGCTCGGCGCCTCCTGCGCATGCGCCCCGCTCGGCG